TGCTGCTGCTGCTGCTGCGGGTTTGGTTTCCAAATAAGCAACGCCGAAGAATTTACGAGTTTTATTATAATATTAACGTTCACGAGCGGCAGTTTTTTTTTTTTTTTAAATTTTTTTTTTTTTTTTCATTCGGAAAATCGTATAATAAATCCTTCGACGCGAACAACGCGAGCGAACGCGGGATTACTAAAATAATATTATATAATATTTTATTGTCAATTTAACGTTCACGAGCGGCAGTTTTTTTTTTTTTTTGAACATTTTTTTTTTTTTTGTCGTTGTTTTTTCTCTTTTTTTAAAACTATTTTTTTTATTTTTTTTATTTTTTATTTTTTATAATTTGTATTTGTTTCTTTTTGTTATGACCTGAAGAGTTTAACGGAAGTTCGGCTGTACGCAAGCGCTGTCTAAATATTACGAAAATTTATATTTATCGGGTTTCAGTTCGTTTTTTTTTTTTTTTTTTTTTCCCCGGTGCTTTGTTCTTTACGTTCGTTTTGTCACAGTTTGTTTTGGGAGAGCGGCAAAGAAAGTACAAGAAATGGTAATGATAATATTATTATTACAATAATTGTTGTATTCTTTCCGTATAGAATCGTCCTGATAATACTTTATTTTTGAAAAGCAAAAAAGAAATAATAATAATAGAGCTGTTCATATTTCCGCGTCTTACAATAAATCCACGTCACCGACTCCCGTTCTACCGGCAACTTTTGCTTTTATATAGCATGTACCTACGGCGTGCGTTTTTAACGACCATCAAAACGCGGTCTTCTACTGGTTAAATTTTAACCGATTCCGCGATGAATGTCATTAAATTTAGAAATTTAATACACGCGCGATAACAACGATTGCCAGTAATAACCCTGGTGATCTTGAATCGTGGTTGTAGTGATTGCCCACAGTTATCGTTCGCTTAGTAATATTACTTGTTTTTTTTTTTTTAACCGATATTTGGTTGGTTTACGGTATACAACTTCAACCACTATTTCTCGCGGTCTTCGGCAAGCCTCGTTGATCAGCGAATGTCTCTATCCCCCCGTTATTCTTCAGTTGAAATATGTGTGCATTTCCTGGTAACTTGGTAAGGAAATTCTTTATCGCATCTTTATTCTTATCTTTATTAGAACGTGGCTCATCATATCCCCACGTCTCAGCAATCAGCATTATGACTTTCATTAAGGTTGTTGTTTTTTTCAAATTGAGTGTATTCTCATTCGTTACTCGTTCCCAAATTATTTTTTCCGTTCGTCTTCAACACCACATTTCGAACGCTTTAAGAGGTCTTTTTTCCAGTTTGTTAATAACCCGCACGTTTCATAAACATATAACGCAACGCCTCATACAAACGTTTTTACCAAATGTCTTCTTTATTCCTCTATTTATTTTTTTCAGATCAAAATCCCCTTTTCCTCTATGAAGTGCTCTCTTAGAATTTCCATTGGAATATGAACTTAAAACGTGAATATAAAATACTATTACCGGGTGATTCATTCAAGTACACTAGTTTTCTCGGAAAGTATTGACTTTTTCCAGAATTTGTTTTCTAGAATATTTATTAAACGAGCCGCTTTGCAATTTTATAATTATGTTATTTTTTATCATCCTTATTTTCGGGGGTAAAACCACTACCTACTTTTGATCTTCAAATGACAACCTGTATTAAAAATTCCATAAATAGATGAATTATTAGTTAAAATAAATTCTAGTGTTAATATTTTTGATTTTTGTTAAGCCGTTGACGAGATATTCCACATTTTAGTTTAGGTTGGAGGAGAGTAGTAGAGTACCATTTGTGTGGCGGTACGGCGTGTGACGTGTTAACTATGCACATTTAGAAAAAGTTATAATGTGAACATTTTAAGTTCATTTCGTCAACTTTTCCCGATTTTTCAATTATAAAAAATCATTAGAAAGAAAGAAAAATTAAAACGTTGATCGATTCAATGTAAAAAAACTCGTTATATTAATATTCTTTGTTTCACGTCACCTTTTAGTTGAACAAGATTTCTGCAATAAAATTTGTTCACAGACCAAAAAAAAAATAATTATACAAACACATCATAGTAAAACCAATAAGTTCTTCGATGCACTTAGAATCTAAAAAAATATCTTTATTCACCAATAAATAAAATGCGCTGTATATCTCGGTGAATCGTTTTTAAAATGTTAAAATAAATCACTTTCAAATTTATGTATTAAAAAAAAAAATAAAAATATTATTAACAATTATAACACGCTCACTTTGGCGATTTCCCACACGGAGAACCGAATTATTCTAATACGAAATTCACATCACGTGCAAATAGTATGCCTGTTCCACCCCCCTCCACAGTAACTGCGGAATACAAATTGGCTCTATCGGGGCACCACCAGAATCTCTTTTTTTGACGTATATCTGGAAGAAATACAAGCAGACAACTGTGTTGAGACATGATTATACATAAATTCCACTTTTCTGTTATCATATTTGAGGTAATATGAAGTTTTATTTTCTTTATTACTACTTAGATAATTATTTTTGAGCAATAATCTACATAAATAATATTAATTATCTGCGCCTCAATACTACGACGGTCAGTAAAAAAGGTTGTGCTCCAACGAAAGAAAAAAATTCTGTATTTAAAATAAACTTGCATAATACTATGCACAAACATATCAAGCACGCTATGTAAATTTGACGAGAATACTTAAAATAAAGAACCTATTACTTATTACTCAGAATAAAATAAAAACCGTACACGTAACAACTATGGTTTCTGAATTGAAGAATTGCCAATACGAATCTGCAACTGATAAACATTTTATCATTATTTTTAAAATATTTGGATACCTTTAAAAGTCTTTATGTTTGAAAATGTTTTACGTCTTTAAGAGTATATTTTGTAATTCGTCTTTCGTTTTAATAACTCGCGTATAATATTAGTTACTATTATAAAAACATCGCCCTTCCTGAGTATAGGCAACCAAACATGCAACAACCCATTTCGCTTTTTATGCATTCGAATAATAATACAATTATTTTGTTATTACATTCGTTGGTATTTTTTTTTCTTCCAGGAATCTTGTAATTTAATCGAAATTTCACTTGGTATTCAGCGAACGCCCGTCCAAAAAAAAAAAAAAAAAAAAAACTGTTATAAATTAATTATAGTTGATTAAAAAGAAAATCCTCGATATTTAATTACTTTAAATTCTGAGCGGGACGAGAGAGCAAAAAAGAAAATATTCGGTTTAAAACTTCTCCCTTAGGAAACACATCCGGAGGCGGTGGAAAGAACGCACAAACTTTCGTCCACTAACTTCTCGGGCGCAGGTAATTAAAATTTCAATTCGTTTTCGTAATGAAACGATGATTTATCGCGTCGCAGCTTTCGGTTCTGAAATAATAATAAAACGAATATACGTTCTCGTGCGAACCGCAGCCAATACCGCCGGTGGTCTGCTCAATATTTGTGAAATCTTGCATTTTTTTTTTTTCTTTTTTACATTTATTTATTGTTTATATTATTGTATTGAACTGCCCTAAATTATATCAGATTTGTAAATCGTTAATCGATAAACAGTATATATTTGATCTGGATATTGTTTATTTTTTTTTTTTTTTTTTTTACCGTATAAACACTGGTTATCATTATAGAAATAAATAATCCGGCACGTTCGATAAATATAACTCGGAAGAAAAGTATATTGGTGTTGTATAAATACATATATTATATTAACGTGTTTATCGAAATGTTATGTCTGCTCGCTGATCGTAACTTAATTTATACGAGAAATACGTTTTTTTTTTTTTTTTATTAATCGAGGTCAGATAAACTATGTTAAAATATCTGGACATACTTCGCACCATGGGTAAGCTACTGTTATTGCAGGTGGGTAGTTGGGAAGGCACAGGATAAATAATTTAATAATAGCATCCCAGAGAGGCGATAGTGTTTCGGCCAATTATATGAAGGAGAGACTATCGTGAGTAAATTACATAGGTATCCGACGATAAACCGTTAGAAGTGGCAAACGATTCTTTGCAACGACCGTTTGATACATCTTTTTTTTTTTTTTTAATTCTTGTAAAGATATTCAAGTTTTTCCTTTAAAACTACAAAAACAAATTTAAAAAATGGCATCCTTAACAATTCATTCACTAGCCAAAATATTCAATCGCATTTAATTTTGAAGATTGAAGTGAAATTTCTGGTTAAAAACTTAATGACAGGAAGAAAAAAAAAAATCTCACATAATAGTAAAACCATCACATTAATTCTCGTTTTGCTCAGAATCTAAAATGTTAACTTGGAATTTTAAATAAAATAACTGCATCTACATGTTATTTTTCGGACACAATGATTCGGTAATCTATAGCTATTTATGGATTCGCGAAATTTGTTTGATTCATTATTAACTGCAGGGTTTCGGTCGATAATATTGAGTGGGAGATCTAAAAAAAAATTGCAAACATTATCGGTCGAAAGCCGCAATATTTTGTAGGTCACGGATTTGTATCCGTTTTTTTTTTCTACCTACATAACAGCGCGGAAATAATAAAAAATGCCCCGCACGCTAACTATTGAATGGAATCTAATAATGTTTACATTCAAATATATGTAGCATAATACATATTATACATTATTTAATAACTGTTGAAACACAAAGTGCACTATCGGTGAATACAAATATAATATTGAACAACGGAAGTCCAATGCATTTTTTTTTTTTTATCCAATTCTGTAAATAGTTTTCCCTTTGATATTAAATTATATGATTTGTTTCGTTTATGAAACAATCGAAATTAAATATTGACGACTCGTTTTTTGGTAACAAAGAGAAAAAAACACGCTATGCGATTCATAAACGGTACCGAAATCCAAACGCATACCAAGGTATTTAGTATTTCGTTTATGTCTGCACGTTTACGTTCATTATCATTACTCCACCGACAAAGTCCGGACGTATTGCTGAGCTCGTCACAGGATCGTTCGATAGGTATATTATAGGCGAAAATGCTGCAAAAGATCACCGTGGTCTTACTGTGTCTCGTGGCTGTAAACGGCATTAATAATAATAACAATAATTGCTCGACCGAGGCACACGACGATTTGATACGCACGTTGACCAAACTGTTTACACAGAAACACGTGCAAACCGTGTCCGTCTCTACTTGCTGGCGCTCGGGTAAGAATTTACCATCTCAGTAGGTATCAATATGTTTAGAAATTGTTTTTTTTTTTTTATTTATACACTCCTCAACCGAAAGTGACAAGGACTATAGTAGTATAGAGACAACCAAACGCGTTATGTATATGCGTATTTGTTTCCAATTTAAAAGTAAAAACATTAATTTAGACGTTTTTGGATATTTTAGTTTTCAACCGAAAATAAGAATTTTCAAATTGTGATAACGATTCTTATGTTTAAATCTCGTTTAAAAATAAAAATATCAAAATGTAATCCGTACGGCTGATAATGTTCTTTCCTTTTATGTTTGATAACAGGTCGAAAAACTCTTATATTAAAAATTATTGCGCAAAGCTGTACTTACTAAACGCATTATATTATATATTTGTAAGATAGAGGCAGCACATGCGGATACAACGCCTCCTTAATATTTATTTACAGACAAGAAAAGCCGACTGTTGTTCGAACTGTCGTCGGTCGATATCTCGGTTAATTTTTATCAGACGGCGATTCCAGTTTACCATCACACTTGGTACAGATACGGCATTCTGGTCGACGTCTCTTGCACTCAAATCGCTACAGTTTTATTTCAACAGGTTTTGTTATTGTTTAATTTGACAATATTTATACGCGTAGATATACGCGTAATATACAGACTCGGTACATGGGCCAACGTGGGGTTTACCTACAAGGTGATTGAAGTGGTAAAATGCAACGGCATCAAATTTTCCACCTACAAAAAATAAGACACATTTATGTAGGTTGGAAGTTGGGAAAGTAGGAAGCTGGGATATATAGGGCAGTTAAGTTTATATTTGTAAGCTATTAACGGCACTCCGAATTTCACCATCTCGTTTTATATTATTTGCTATATAGTTAAATCAATAAAATCTCCGATACTCCCAAAACTCAAAATGAATTAAATGGAAAATGTATTGCAGGCGTCGAAAGATCGACTCTTTGACATGCGAAACAATTGGATATTAATAAACTCGCGGGCGGATTGCGTGAGTAGTAATGACGGTCAGCAAGTGGCGCTGGAAACTTTCGAAACGTATTTGTCCGAGGCGTACGTGCTGCCGGAATCAAACGTGTTTTTGTTGGTTCAAACAAATGACAGAGACTCCTCGTGGGACATATGGGAAGGATTTAAGGTCAGCAAGACGGAAAGGATTCGGGTGTACAGACACGGGTCGGCATCAGTTAACCGTCTCGAGGTGTTAGACAACAATTCCGTCTCGTTAAGGTCAGACCTACGGGGCATCACTTTAAAGGCGACCACCGTGGTGAGCGAATTTTAAACGTCGGATGATATGTAATGTATATCGGGAAAATAAAGTTATAAATATTCCGTCGTCTGTTTCGATGCCTTTAGTGTTTAAATAACATCTTATATTTTCCATCGCCTTTGTTCCACACTGTACGTCATCTTATACTCTTATGTATCTTTGTATCTCTCTAAATCCATTATGATTTGCTTATTCTTCCCATTTCTCTCATTCTCTTGATATGCTAATATCTATGTATTATACCGAGTGATCCATTTGGGAAGGTACACTCATTATCTCGGAGAGTATTAGGTAAAATAAATTTAAGTGTTGACATTTTTGATTTCCGTCAATCCGTTGACGAGATATTCCACTTTGAAGTATAGATTGGAGGAGAATAGTGGTGCATTATTAACACGCCGTGCGCCGTATCTCCGTACAAATAATACCCCACTACTCTCCTTCATTCAAAACTTAAAAGTGGATTACCTCATCAACGGATTGACGGAAATCAAAAACATCATCATTTAAATTTATTTTCACTTATACTCCATCTGTTTATGGAATATTTAATATAGGTTGCCATTTAAAAATCAAAAGTAGGTAACGGTTTTACTCCTAAAAAATAAAAGTGACAAAAAATAATATATTTATAAAATTGTAGAGCAGCTTGTATCTTAAATGTTCTAGAAAACCAATTTCGAAAAAAGTAATACTTTCTGAGATAATGAGTGTATCCACTAATATGGATCGCCTGGTATATTATATAAAATGAAAAACTAATTGACTGATATAACAGTTGAAGGACATGGTCTAAAACAAAGCCGGGTTTAGGAGACGCGAGAGGAGTAATTATGACCACGGGGGTGCTAAACAAAAGGCACTAATGAAAATGTTAAGAGTTTTTTAATTGAACATGTTTACAATAAACGTAAAAGTGAATGCTGACGGACAGGATTTTAGATTTTTTTTTTTGCTAAATTTTTCTAGCGCCGAGTGCTGATTTTGCTAGGAACGGCACTGGATGGATCTAGAGATTTAATATGTTTCGCAGGGATTTCTCACAAAACGTAGACAATTGGAAAACCATTGAAAATTAAATTCCCAAGGTCTCGAAAAATAGTCGAAATAAGTCTCGAAGTTAGTGTGGAAAAAACTTTTATATCGTATAATTTAATCGGAACGATAAAAATACATAGACAACTGCAAGTGCACGAGTGTAAATAGGTAACTCAAAAGGAGCGTAAAAGTGTAATTGCGAGGGATAACCATATCGCATTTTCAAGTTAGCAAATAACAATAGCATACATAACTGTTGGGATTATAATATTCACATTTTATCTGCATAAATAACTTGTATACGTATACTAGCTGTCCCGCGCTCGGCGTTGTCCGTGCCAATTTTTCATTCATTTTACATTTATTCCCATTTTTTTTTACCCATATCAGTATATTAAACAAAAAAATAATAGATAGAAAGTGGGTCGTCGGTGAACTAAAAGTCTCCTAGTGTGTCATATATTTTTTCATCCGTGGAATTATTCATTACCATAGATACCCGTATAGCACAAGAATTAAATTATATTGTATTCACTAAAATAACGCTAAAATTATAAGGACTGTACTGTACTAGTACTGTAGTATAGCGTAGTGTTGTTACTGTACCAACAAATACAAAGATTCAAAGATGACGTTTTACGTGTTTTCACTTTTCACTTACCCGCCCAATACGGTGGGTAGTTTTTTGTTGTTTTTTTTTTCATCCATGTTATCAATTTGTCCTATATTATTTCAAGTCAATAATAGACCGGCAGACAGTCAGATGGACTGTTTATGTTAAGTTGTTGTAATTTATATTTGCATTTTTATTTATATTTATTATTTATTTTTTGTTTTAAATTATTTTTCATTCCATTCGTGTAACTAATGTAATCCATAATTCAACAAACATAATTTAATTTTCTTACCAAAAATACCTAAGAACCTTTCATACCCCTATTTTATCCCCTTCTAGGTCATTCATTCGTCGAGATGAATACTATTATATTTTTTAAGCTGGACCGAATCACTCGCATTGAGCATTATCGCGAGTAGTTTCAGAGTGCATCGCATACAAACTCATCTTTCACGTGATTTGTATATATATATAAAATTATCTTAGTTTTATACAACCCGCAAAGAAGGTATTACAAAATCATACGCGGACGAAACCCCGGTTAAAAGCTAATACTGCTTATAGGCGTGTATTATACATCTATTAGTTATATCTTTTATTTTTCCTGCTATACCTTCCTAACCTAGACTAGTTTTAGGCACTACTCATTCCTAATCCTACCGAACCCGTTCTCGACAACACCTTATTAACATTCGAATTTCTACTGCTTTTATTTGTGTTTCGTCCTTTTTATTCAATATTCTCTGGCGCTTCCAACCACTTTGTTAGATCACGCTTTATTTTACTGTCGGCTACATCTTCCGAAATCCCGTCGTTCTTTTGTACCACTGAACTTATAAATAATACTTAAAATTTGCATTTAAATTTATCTTATGTCATTAGATATCGGAACCGAAAATGTTCAAAGGCTTTTATCCGTTTGCCGAAACCGATCTGGACATTTTTGCGCATATGCACAACGACATGAACATCGTGTTACAAGACCAACTCAACTTCAGGTCAACAAACATATTAATAGTGCTTGCCTAGATATCGTTCTATAATACGACTATTTTTATTGGACCTCCGACAGACTTGTAAAGTATTTAAATAGTAATATTCGAATACTTTTAAAACACTTGAATATGTATACTAAATTATTTTACAAAAATTGCTTGGTATTGTATATTAAATATTTTCTACGGTATTTTTACTTGAAATCGAATAATTATTTTAAATAGTTGTATCAATTTTAAATAATTAGTTTATTTTTATTTTCTCAAAATGTGTAGAGATATTAGAACAAAATCACTTTTATAAATAATACTAGATTGATAAATTTTGTATTTATTATTGATTTTGGTCAATTTTAGATATTTTAAGATCACTAATACTATTGATTTCATATTTTGCACATGAGAAGATATATGTTTCATTTATAAATACTTTTCGAAAACATCTGTGTTCGTAATAAAATATTTTAGTGAATTACTCAATTAAGTATCCTATGAAAAATATTATCCACATTCGTACTCCATAAATACTATTAAAAATTAGCTTTTATATACAATTCTGTCCACCGATTTTAAACGATAAACTGATATTGTTGTAGTATACGACATTGTTTTACATTTATTTTTTTATCCGTACGAATATAGAATGAATCTAATGATCGTAGACAGTTTTGGCTGGGATTTGGGTAACGGTTCGTTCAGTGGACTTACGGGCCAATTGCAAAGGGATGAGTGCGATTTCGGCGGTATAGGCAGTTTTATCCGAGCTGATCGAATGACAGTAATAGACTACACCGTTGGGACGTTTTACAGAGAGTGAGTATCAGAGTTAATTTTACCGTAGTTGAAAATAGTGCCTTCTTGTGGTTAATGAACGTGCCCCGGACATTTCATTATTCATTCAATTTTAAAATATTATTTGGCCTAATATTAACAAATACTTTTTTCATTTCTCACGACTACTAAGTAACTGGTATTTGCATGGAAAATATGTTTAGCCGATCTCTCTCAACTCGTAAAATCGACGAGTATTTAGAAATTTAAACTTTAGCGTACTTGATAATTCCGGAACAAAACTACACTTTATATTTATTCTATTTCAATATTTGATCCACGAATTCGTCCGGGCTTTAAAAAAAGATCAACACTAAACAGTGGTGATCAAACTATTTTTTACAGAGGTAGGAATACTTTTGCACATACGGCGAACATTGAGCATATTATTTTGATAGAGTGCATCATCATCGTCTTCGTTTGTCACGCGATTTTCAAGTAGGTAAATTATTAAATCGGCACGCATAAATACTGTCTACTGTGTTTTGCCTTTTTGCGGTTAGTGTGGACGAATAGATGAATATAAGATATTATATTATATTCCGGACATAAAAAATACTCTGAAAAAGTTTTTTGTGTATGTTTAATTATTAATAAATTAAAATATATACTAATCAAGGCCGTAATTTTAAACGAACCACGATAATAATATCAATATAACTAAATAATGTTCAAGCATTTTTATTTGGTCAAACAATTTGTAATCTAGGTACCAAAAAAAAGAAAGAAAACTGAAAATTTGAAAATTTCAAATGCCTACAAATAGCTCAACAGTTATCAGGATATTTTGAAAAATGGGCCATAATTTTAAAAAGCTAATGAATATTTGTATTCTGTGAAAATTGCAGGTCTCTATGAATTTGTTTAATAATATAACAACAAAAAATAAATATCATAATAGTGTAAACTGTCCTGTTTTTTCACAGTACATTCTATTATTGTAAAAAGGATTTTTCTTAATAATTATTAAAGCCACTTGGAAAATTAAAGAATTGCATTCCCAATGTACCAATTTGATTCAAAACGCAACAAAATTGTCCTTGTTATTTTTTGTTTGATTTATGTACGTTTTATTTTTTTTTCGATAGAAAAGTTACTTACATGTACAAACGTTTAAAATACACACACACGTCATAGTCACTTTATATAACTGACACTTCATCAGTCCGCTCAGAATTCAAAACTATACAGTAGTATATATACGGAAACGATTATTGTTTTATTAATTTCGATATAAAATCTAATTTTATCAAATAACCTAAATATGTGTTATTGCATTACAAGCGACAATATTTCAAATATTTGGCTAATTATTTCCCAAATATATATATTACCTATTGAATACGTTTTTGAAAACTTTTCACGTCATATTTTTTTTCTTCTTTTACTTAACACGGTAGTTATACGTATGCAAATGTTGTCGATATTGTAGGCCATCCGCTCTGTTCAAACAACCACCACTGTCCAGTGTTCGGAACATATGTGTTTTGCCATTCAAGTTCGAAGTTTGGATGGCGATGTTGATTACGTTGGTCGGGTTCACGGTGCTAATCATATTTTTGGCATGGATGACACAGCGGTTTGAAAAAAATGGCGACGAAGCACTGACCATTTTGGACTCGGTTATCATCGTCCACGGAGCCATTTGCCAACAAGGTTAGCATCATGACGGCCCATAGTGGTAAAAATTAAAGAATTTTTTAAAAATGTAATCTTTTTCCATTTAATATTTCATATGAAACCGAAATAATTAAAGTAAATAATAATTATCATGGAAAAGTATTGACTAAATTCTGACGAATTTCATGCTGGCATAACAGTGAAAATTTCGCTAATGATTATTGGCTATTCTAATATTTTCCCGAGGAGGTAAAATATCGCGGAGTCAATAACCACTCTCATACCGGTGTTCCTATACAGTATAAACATCAGTTATTATACAGGGTACACGATGAATCTGAACACCATATCCATACGTGTGGCGATTTTCGTTCTGTTTCTGACGGCCGTGTTTCTGTTCACTTCGTACTCGGCGAGCATCGTCGCGTTGCTCCAGTCACCCAGCGACTCCATCAAGACCGTCCGGGATCTGGTGGAATCATCTATGACATTTACTGCACAGATTTCACCGTACGGTCAGGTTTACTTCGACGTAAGTTCAGAAATAGGTAATAACTAATAAGTGTCAATCGTATTTTGGGGATTGAATGCCACGTTGAATAGTACCTCCTTCAAAAATTGTAAATCGAAACAATGAAAACCGGGTCCAAATTGGTTTGGTCGAGATTACGACAATAAAACTCAATTTCACATGTCTATAAGAAGTAACTACAAGTTTGTAGTGTAAAATTATTCAGTTTAAAATTTCGTTAAATACATACTATATAAGTATTTGCACAAATAGATTATATTATTTTCTTTTAAGGTGCCTTATTAGGACATAATTTGGCCACTACGTTATTTCAAAATAATTTGATATTGAAACTTTTATTTTGAATTTTTTGTTGTTTTATGTTTTCGAAGGGCTTAAGTCACCATAAAGCCAAGCTGCACGCCATTAAATTGAAATTATTCCATCGCGTTAATATTTATCTTGTATACCTACTTTAAATTATATTGCATTCGAACGTTTTGAAATATTGTTGGACCATTTATATTAAATAGGAGACAGACGATCCTTACCTGCGGAAACTTTACAATAAGAAAATGAAACATCAAGGGACACAAAAGTTTACGTTGGCTTCGGAAGGCATAGCTAAAATTCGTACAGAATTTCACGGATTTATGGTTAGTTAATTATACTAGTACAATAAATCAATTTAGTTGCAAGTACGACTGTTTTGGATGTTAATTAATTGTACTTTTTTTTTATAAGGTCGAGGTGGTTTCGGCTTATAAGCTTATCAGTCGATTGTGGCGTGAAGAAGAAAAGTGCGGATTTTCGGAAATTCAACTTTTCAAATTACCTATTCTTGCGTTGGCCGTGATTAAAAAGTCTGGTTATAAAGACATTTTCAAACAAAAGTTTGTTTATCCAAATCATATACTTTATAATACGTATTAGATGGAAACTGTATAACTAATAAAAACAAAATTTAGCACAGATACGCAACGATAAATCATTGCAAACGAAAAACGATTCTTATTGAAGTTCGGTAAAACACCTTTTGATAAACTTAAATTGAATATTGTATTATTTAGAATTCATTTTTAACTAAAAAATGAATTAAAATTATATGTGGTCTTTCTTCTCAAAATGTGTGTATTTTAATGAAACCAAAATAGTTTTATTTACACAAATCAGAAAATAGTTCGCAAATGCAGTGATTTTTACGATTTTCATCAAAATTTTAAATTTGAAGGCTCATAAAAAAATCCATTTTTTTTACCACTGAGGACAAATTTTAATGAACCTTGTACCAAAATTCCGAGTACTTTAGACTTGCCGAAACAATTTGTTTTACATAAAACTAAATAAACTTTAAATGGCCATAGATAGCCCAAAAATCACCAGAATGTTTCGAACATTGCATCATGTCTAGAAAAAGCTAATATAAGTATTTGGTGAAGACTTCTGTTCTCTACGAAAATCAAAAACAACAGAGAGAAACCGTGGTTCAGTTATTGAATAAAATATTTCGGTTTCCCTAAGAAAACTACAGAGAAAAACAAAAAAATACTTTTGAAATGCATCAACTAGACAAAATATCCTGGGTAACAAAATGATCGGATCATGATTTTCGGTAGTTATAAAGTGATAGAGATATCGAAAAAGTCACATTTTAGTAAAATTGTATTTTAACAGTTTATTTTACTGCACTGAGAATCTAAAATATTGGAATTGTTGTATAAATATACATTGTATAAATGCGTCATTTATTCTATAAGAACACGAGCATACTATTATAATTTATTATTAACGTGAATATTTTTTACTCATGTCAGGAATACGAAATTTCAGATTAATGCACCAAGAAGAGGTTGGAATTAAAAACCGAATTATTAGACGGTGGATACCGCCGAAGCCGATGTGTGACTCTTCGAATCGAGCCAATCAATTTGTCAGCGTATCCATAAAAGAAATATATCCCATGTTACAGATCTACGGGTTCGGACTATGCGTTTCGATTGTTGTTTTGTTTTTAGAAATTGGCTACGAGACTTATACGAGGTACCGAGCAAAACACGACGACGATTTATTCTACAAGATATTCGGTTTTACTTACAATAAACGATAATAATTGTGTACGCTGCATTATACTCGAGAAACTAATTTAAAGTTTATAACATTATCATGTTTCTAGTCGTCCGTATTATATAAAACTGCACGATATTAAATTCCAACACAACTAGGGTGAATTAATTTGCGTTATTAATATTACGAGCAAAGTATAAAATCGAGCATTGTGACACGAACACAAATTTCGTGGGCAAATTAGGTAAAAGTTTACATTGTTTAACGTCCGGACGCTATGTACTGTGACACTATGTTCAAATCTAATTGGAAAAAGTAGACGAAACGTTTAAAAATTACAAACTATTAAAAATATTCTTTGCTTTTACAATTTGTACGTATAATGTATATTTTTTTATTTATATATTACTCTATGGTGACTGGTGCTCTTAAGTACTGACTTAACAACTATATTATTTATCAATTAAAATTTATTTTCCGTCGAATCATATTAAGGCCATATTCTATTATCTCGGTCAAAAATATTAAATTGTTAGCAATAGGATTTAATTTACTTAATTCATCACGTAAATCCTAAAACAGTGTACCTACCGAGAATAAAAACGTCGACCGGTCAATGTATAAGAACAAAAAAAATTGAGTGCGGAAATTTCTCCCCTAAAATGTTCGGTCACAATGCACTGTGCCCGGGTACAATGTTCTTACTTTAATCTTATCGCTTGAAAATCTATTTTATGTTTAATTAAAGTAAATAATTATCTGGTATGTTGTTGTTCATACGATTAAAAATCCGCGTTTTAATGAATTGATTATGCTCTTTGTACGCCATGATAAGCTTAATATAACACGCACGTCTAAACAGAAGTTGATTTGAACAAAATATTATACATTAACAAGTGTTTTTTAAGAACGCTTGATACCAGCATGTGTTTTATACGTAACACAAACTAAGTAAATTGTAAATTTGCATTTAACAGAGACAACTTTGTGCTCTTAGTTTCGATATTAGAATGAAAGAACTCACCTATTATCAAACATGTAATAGCTAGAAACAGTGGCGAATTTTTGAAATTTTTCGCGGAGGGTCGTGAAAAGTAATTTCAAGTATTTCAAAATATCAATAGATTATATTTTTAGACGACATACTATTTTAAACAGTAACACTGTAGGACTCTCACTCTCCTGTCAATCCGCCACCGTCGTTTGTTTCGATATTTTAATTTGTAAGCGAGACGTGATTATGTAATTGATCACTGTTTAAAAACGTTTAAATCAGGTTTAAAATTAAAATATCGAAAAGCACTTACACCGTCGCACGGTGTCGAGATAATGAGTGAAATCTCTCTACTAGTAAAACAAACATCGCAATGCATACTGTCTTCTCTGCCGAAAGCAAACATTTGCCAAGCCGTACGTTTACCATGTAGAGACAGGGACAGCGCATGCGGGTATCAATGTTATAGTACAAGTGTCCCACCGGTAATAATGTTATTCTGGCAAATCTGTAGTAAATCTTACTATGAAATGTATTCTTAGGTAACAAATAATATAACTATTGTTATGTACACAATTATATAGTATACATGTATATATTGGTATAGTATTATATTTAATAATATTATTAAACGCCGATAGATTATTAATTTTTATTGTAAGTTGATTTTTTTTTTTCTACCTATAAACCTTATCAATCAGTGCATATGATACCTACATTTTAATATTGCGAGTTTTGTGCGTGATTTTTATTATTCGGTGTGTACTCTGTGCTGAAATTGCTAGATTTAACAGAAATTCTTGAAAATTTAATAAGTTCATTAAAAGTCGTATTTTTTTTTTTTTTTTTTTATAAAGAAATTATAATATCAAGTTTTGACGAAAATCGTTCGAATAAAAAATTATAAGGAGCAAATATAATTTTTAAATTTTTTGTTATGAACATAATATGTATATTGTTGATTTAAGAACTGATGGTGAAGTCAGAGTTAAGAGAACTGACTTTTTGAGTTTTAAATGTGTACCAAAACGGTACACACCGTTTTAGCGTGTGTACCGTTCAACTATTTTTAGCGGTTAGTTAAATGATAGTTAATGAACAAAATTATCTTTTTTTACCAAGATAAAAAGTTAATGGTAATTTAAATTTCTTTGGAAATTTAATTATTATGCATCACTCATCTTTTGCTGAATGTTTTTAAATGTATCGATCTTATTCAAATTAAATAACTTTATGTATCCTACCTTCCTAATTTCCCGCTAACAACAATGACATAAAAGCAGTATCAGTTTTTTTTTTTTTGTTTTAACAATCTTTAAATCCTATCATATTTTTTTCAATAGCATTGATATAAGCGTTCTGCAATATCGGATAAGAAGTTTATATATTAATAACTATAATGATTTAAAGTTTTATACGGAAGGAACTCGAGTGACTCGTTTGTTTTAAGATTATATGCCTACCTACCCTTTTGTGCGCCCGCTTCCAATCAAAACTTTGAACAACGTCCATAACGAAAGGGAATTAATCCGCTTCGAAACTATTACACGCTGTACCGTAGTCGTACAGAGAAATAATTATTTGGATTATTAATTTCTTTGAAGACGTGCAATTTAAATTGAATAAGTTGTTACGCTAACGAAGTTTCAAAAATCGATATCATATTCCTTTCAGTATTTTTTTCAAAATTTGATATTTAAAAATAAAATAAAGTTATAGTTGGAAATTTGTATTCGCTACAAAAATCCTGTATAAATAGCCAAACATATTACAATATCACCGCATTAATGCCGTTCAAATAATTTCCCAAAGTTGACAAAAAAAAAAAAATTTGCCCATAACTTGTGCCACTATTGTAGATTGGAGGTTAATGGGAAAGAAGCAAGATATAAGAATACAATAAATAATATAGATAATATATATAACACTGATTCGTGGTATGGGTACTTTTATAAGTGTAACGGCCTTTATATAATACTGGTAACAATATAATGTAGATAACATAGGTAAAATTACGGCTTTAAATTTCGTGTTCTTGTTGTTATTACAGATAATAATAAATTTATCTATATCAATACCAAAACAATTCACAATGAATTTCTATTTCTATTATAACATACGAATATATTTTTACTATGACTAAAGTGCACTATAGTAGTACCATGTCCTTTGTATAGTAAAACATGCTTCCGTCTATAATAGAAAATAATGGGACTGTCGCGTAATTCTTGCTTTTTCTGACAAACTGGAAAATTAAGTCATTTCTAACCCTTCCATATCTCCGTAATCCTTATTTAAAGCACACAACTGCATCGAACCATTTTAGTATACAAATTCAGAAATATTAGTTTTGTAAATAAAAAGATTTGCTCTAAACCTCATAGTTCTTGAGATAATTGTGAAAAACAGTTGAAACATACGATTTTACCCTTCTTCACACCCTATCACACCCAAACCCGACGCTCCAGGTTGTATAACTTTTTACTACTTACTACAAGGACGGTATAAAACAATTTGCAGGAAGGTAAAACTTTTTTTTTGGTTGTTTGAGTTTCAACCTAATTTTACTACACTAATAGCCGAATTCAAAAACTATTGTCATCCTATGGGTCGCAAGTTCAAATCCGTGTTTCAAAAAAAAAAAAATCTTCAATTATTTTTTTCATTTTACCTAAACAAGAAAAAAAAATTAATTTTAGGTGTATCTAGAAACCCAAATATCGCTCGCTCGGACAATTTTAATCGAAAAATACCCCTAGATTTGTAGTGCAAACTTTTCTACCAGTAATCTTGCTTTGATGCATCAAGTGTAGCTTATTTCCTATCTATATTCTATCTCCATGATAATTTAGGGAGGTCGTTTTTTGATTTTTCAAGTGGTTTTCATAATAGTGAAAAAATATTATGGCCTTCCCAAGAGTTTTCCCAGCAAAAATGAAAAACCTGAAAAAACACGAGAAAACCGTGAAAAATGGTACAATATTAAACAAATGTGATTAAAGAAAAAAAATAATGCTTATTTAATTAGTTTACTATAATATGACATAAATATTGTTAACAAAACAGTACTATCAACTGAGCTGCGCTCAGAATTGTTTTTTCGTTAGCAATAGTTTATCGTAGCTTACAGATGTACATTAAATTACCTATAACAGTGGCTACTCCCGTCTCCATTTTCCTAGGACGTTTTTTTAAATTGCTCTCACAATATTCGTGTTTAATAAAAAAATAATATTCTTTTAAAATTCCATTGTGTATCTAAATCCAATTAAAGTGCCTGTATTAAACATTCATAGTGTGATTATTTATTTTTCGAATAACTCCCATTTAATATGATACAAGTTCGTGTTATTTTTTTTTTTTTTTTAACACACTCAATGGAATCGTTTTATGTTGAAAGGGAATACAATTATCGATTCATATTATGAGTGCAACTACAAGTGATTCATATAATAATTTAAATGTGGCTGAAGAATTCACGAATAAAATCTAAACGAAACATCGTAAGTCATAATTTATAACTTAAAACGTCCATTATAAGTTACAATGAACGGGATGTTCAAAAATATTACGATTTTATCGCTGATTTCGACATTACAATGTTCATCGCAAGATGACTATTGCGATTCGATACAAGTTATAACGAATTTTTGTATCAAAAGACATGTTCAAACGATAACGGCCGCTACGTGTTGGCCATCAGGTACAAAATGCCGTACAAATGGGTAATTTTAGATTAATTTATGTTTTATACAATTATTATTATATAGAGGTCAGTGTACAATTATTGAAGAAATTGTCAGCGATCGATAAATCATTGAGTTTCTGTCTGCAGTTCAAACCTCAAACACACGTTACGTGGTATAGACACGGGCTTATGGTCGATTTATCTTACAACAAATCAATAAACTTTATCCATAACGTTGTTATACCATTATAATATTACGAGTAATTTCTACGTATTATATTTTACAATCTAACAATGCGAATTATTTTAAAATTCTCAACTTTCGGTTTAAAAGGCATGGGGAGATGACGCCATGATTATAGCGGAAAAACAGAGACAACTCTTGGTCCAATTGCTTTCCAATCTTGCATATTTCAAATTTCTGCTATTAGGTCATTTAAAATAATATGTATATTATGTTTAAAAACAACTTTCCAGGACCAAAATAAGAAAAACCACTGAATAAATGAATATGTCGGGAAATCAACGTTATTTCTGCGGAAATTCTCATTAGTATGAGATCAATATAGTATTCAAAACGTACTTATTGCAATTTCAAACATGACTTCTCCAAGTGACAAGTCCTTTTATTTATTTGTTGTTTTCAATGTCTTAGTTACCTTGGTAACAATGGAAAAAGGTTCAGATGCCACGACTAATACAATACTCTATTTTTCGTTCGCAAAGCTTTATCGTTGCATGCAGTAATTTATTTTAAACTAAATCACCCTATATAGTATCCTACCTTCTAAACTACCCACTAACACCAGTGGCCTACCCATGGTGTGCAGACGTATGTCCAGCTTTTTTTTTTATCTGATCATTAAGTATTGATTATAAGCATATACACTGCTCGTGTACACGCTATGGTGACCTGAAACTTTGGGCAGTTTGCCAAAGTTCGATGTGGTTGTTCATAAAAATATATTTCATCGCTTTGGTAAAAATCTTTAACCGAAATATACGTTATTACAATAATAATTAATTTGACGATAAATGATAAAAATGGTGTGGAGTTTAACGGCCGTTTTACGGTGTGTCTCGTTAAGATTTACGATTTTAAAACGGCAGAAAACTATAATGTAAACAGTAAAAACGAACATCATCTGTCTTATTTCAAAACAGTGAATTCTCGCACGATGCCACACGTATACATATATTATTTAGGTACTTTGTCGAAAAACAATATTTCAGCTGCCAAAATGGCTTCGTCATATTATTTTACGACAATTTAAAACGTATTTTAGGAATCAAGAGATCCAATAATACGAAAACTTTACGAAACAAAAATAACGCCATATTACGAAAGTGATTTGTTCACAGACGCGGCAAAGGGCACAGAAAGAATTTGTACGGAATTTCACGGATTTATGGTACTCGTACACGATAAGATAAACACCCATGAACAACAGAGCTCTGCTCTGGACACTAGAGTTGAATTTTCCCCACTGTTTTTGTATAGTCGAAATGTTATTTTCATAATAATAAATGACAAAATACTATAATAATTCACAGCTGTATACTTTATTATGATTATACTGAAAAGGGAGAAATTCAATAGGGTTTGAATATTGACACACTTAAAACCTCCAGAATGCACGTCCTCGATACTAATCCCGTGCGTATAAGAAATTTCCTTAATCTGGCGTTATTTTGGGAGTCTGTAGATGTATACAAAGCTAAAATACACCTTTCTTCCGCTGGTTAAGTTCATATTGAAATTCAATTCGGCTCTTATCACGTCGATCCGCCTACGAAACAACACCAGGATTTCCGAGTATGAGCCGATTCGGCCCAGAAAGATCGACTAGAAATTGTCATAGTTAGGAAATACGTATATACTATAACAGGCAAAATATACAATGTAATAGCGTCTGGTTTCGGGGAAAATTCGACGATAATAATCGATATAATAGTTTATTATTAGATTGTTTATTATTTTGTCGTTTACATAGGTCGAAAAGACATCGGCATACCGAGTTGTTAATAAGAAATGGCAAGAAGACGAGAAATGCGGACTGTACGAAATTCAGCTATTCAAGTTGCCCCATTACTTTCCGGTAAGTTAAAAAATCCGGCCACAGAGACGTGTTCGAACAAAAGTACGTTGGTTTTTTCGCCATCCGTCCGTTTTTTTTTTTTTTTTTTTTGTAAAAAAATTACCTATACCGATGAGACGTCGAATACAGTACTCAATAATATTTTTCTCCTTTCGTCAAGGCTGATCCAAGAACAACAATTCGGAATCAGACGTCGTTTCATTGAACAGTGGACGCCGCCCTAACCGATATGCGACTCTACGAAAAGAAACAGACATTGCGTTACAGTTGTTCGGTTACGGGATATTCGTTTCTTTCATGACTTTTATCTTAGTACTTGTGTATCATCACGCTTTTGTAAACTATCTTCGTCCGAAATATAGAAAAAAAAGTACGCTTTTGAGTGGCCAAGTCGAACACAGTGTATTAGTTATAATATGTTGTGTATGTATCTGTACCAACGATGAGATGTATAATATTTATCGAAATATTAGTAATAACATATGNTGTATTAGTTATAATATGTTGTGTATGTATCTTTACTAACGATGGGATGTATAGTATTTATCGAAATATTAGTAATAACATATGTGAAAAATTAAATTATTAAATCGGTATTAAATTTTTTGTTGTTTTAGATTATAATTTTATTATTATTTAATTATAAATTTACATTTAATTATTAAATTTTAATTAAAATTTCGTTGCGTTTGCTTTCATTCTGAAAATTTGACTCGTATACTTGTAGATACGCAGTATACTGCAATATCCCAAAAACGGTCGACAAGTTTATCTTGCGTGATATCCGTCGAATAAAACAATAACACTTTAGAGATATACGAGTACAAATATAAAATCACTACGATTGTTTTAATATCTCAGAGTGTGAGTATCATCCTTTTCTGAAAACGAATCGATTTTCGTTTTTTTAAATAATGTTTAAAGGCCAAAATAGCCCCTTTACTAAACAAAATAATATTAATAATAATAATCATAATGTGGGGGATAACAATAATGCAGTACTAATAATAATGGTCGATAAAATAAAATGTTTAAAAGGCAAGAAGAGCGGTTATGATATTCGAGCGAAATAACAAAACGATAGAAAAATATAACTTTTCATTGTAAGTACTTAGGTACATGATTCAATTTATCGGATTCGTACGATATTAAGATAATATGTTGAACTTTTCGGAAAAGTTAGCAAAATACGTGGCAAGTAATCGTTGCTATAAATTGTGATCGTACATAAACTTAAATTGCAAACATTTACTCGTAACTATTGCAAGGTTTTATTTCTCAATGGCTTTATAAGTCTTATCTAAAATCCACATAGAGATTCCAAATTTCGGGACGTCTACAATAACGATTATACAATGTTACGGTTATTTCGAATGATAACAAATAATAATATTGTTCCGATAAAGAACGTTTAAAATATAATAATATCAACTAAGTTTTTGAACAGTCTAATCATAATTTCAAGAAAGTTATAAATTCAAATTCGATTTTAAGTTAAACCGCAACGGAAACAGTTTTCTCGAACGGATTGTGCAATTATTTTGGACAATTCGTTTCAACAAACTACGAGTGTTAACAGTTTGGGGTTTGTACAAAATTCAACACCACCAACCACAAATTATAAAGACCGTCCGATAAACTGTTGATGTATAGCTCTTGTCTGTGTGCAAACACAGCAACATTTAAAGGCAGTGTTTGATTTGGGAGGGGACGCGGGAACACTGAGTACCTCAACTATTTTTTTTTAATATTCTAACGTTCTGCTATTAAAGTACTTATTGAACTATTAACTAGAGTTACTCATTAGTTATTACACGTGTATACATGAAATTAAAAATTTTATGCTAGAAACCGTGTAATCCGAAATTCACGAATGCGAAATCGTGAAAGATAAATCACGTGAATATAAACTTTAAAATAATCAAATAAACGTGTTTTAAATATTTCCCTTTTTTGATGCACAATAACAATAAATGCATATGATATCTAGTTAGTGACGAATAAAGTCGTTTTGATTTTTGAAGTTTCGATTTTATTTTTCTACAAGAAATTTTGCTCCGATCAAAAAATGACAAGACACACGGCACTAGTAGGTATATATAATATCTATACATATGACCATTATGGCGTATTGACTTCTTCAATGCGCCAACTAGATTTAGAATGCTACAAATAAGCTTTTTGTTATTTTTTGTTTGGCATACAATTTCTAGTAAAAAATCAAAATCGAACATGATGAAACATAATGATCACGTGGATTTAAATCACGGAATTCACGTATTTGGAAATTCACGTGTCACGTGAAATACGAAAATAAACAACATAAATATCCGTGTACACGTATACAATAAAATACGTATTTTATTAGGCCCTCTAGTAATAATGGTCAATTGAACAATACACTATTATCTTGTTTAACCCAGTGATCAATATTCTCATCACGATGAAGAGAAGATTAGGATGTGTCACTTCAATGCTATGATGTTGACGCAAACAATTATGGCAGTTTGGTACCTAGTTCATAATTGCTCACCAGAGTACGGTATGCCTAGCATTTGCCTGACGACCGATTTTTATATACGTTTCAATATTGATTTGTACATAATTTGTATTTAAATCTATACAGAGTGCCCCCACAGAGATAATCATAAATAATAAATCATAATAATAAATAATAATAACATTGTTATATTTTCGGAGATAATAAAGATAACCAAATTCTGTTTTTATTAAATATTATTCACAAAGATAGGGAATGCGAATATTTCTATTTCAAGTAATTTTTTATATTTTGGTAAAAAAATTTAAAAATAACTTTTTATTTTATTGGTTTTGAAAAATTTGAAGATAGTCACTTTAAAATGTTTATTCTTCTGAAAGTTGTAACTTTTTGTTTTCATTAAATTATTTTAATATTTTTTTAAAGTTCAGAGACGAAAATTCTACAGTCAGTTAGTTATAATAATAAGAATCACTTAGCGAATGCGATTACAGTCCGCTGCATAATTATGGGTATTTTTCAGAACTTTAAAAATTATTAAAAATTACGAATTTAATGAAAACCAAAAGTTGATACATCAACATTTTCAGAAGAATAAACTCTATAAAATAGCTATCTTTAAATTTTTCAAAAACAATAAAATAAAAAGTTATTTTTTTAAGTTTTTTACTAAAACATACAAATTTAAATCAAATATAAATACTTTTAGTTCTTATCCCTACAAATAATATGAAAAAAAAAAAAAAAAAAAAAACAGAATTTGATTATCTTTATATCTTTATTATCTCAAGAGATATTATAATGGAAATAATTTTCGTAGGGCACCCGGTATGATGTTCCAATATCAATTGTAGTAATATTGGGAAGTATGTTAACATATTTCAAATATGATAAATTGATATAAATAAAATGTTATAATTATATATATATATATATATATATATATATGTATATATAGTATGTATTATGTTTATTTATTTATTGATACATATTGTGTATAAAAACGAAATAATTAATGCCTACCACTGTTTGTAAATGATAATAGAAAAAATTATTTAATCAAGTTTCATTTTTAGAAATTTGTTCAACTGTTAATGTTCTCCGTTCTCCCATACGAGATCTACTCGTGGTTTTTAATTTTTGTAGTGTTGTAAAAAAAAAAATCCAGAATGCCAAATCAATGTTTCGTGGTGGGATACAAAACCAGCTATGCTAGTATTATATTCAAAAATTAAAAATCGAAAATAAAAAACAAGCAACTTTGTTTCGTGCAGAAAAAGTTTGAATTTGTTTTAATTATTCATAAATAAATAAATACTGAACTATGAGGAAAAAAATTGTGTCCGCTGTACACAAAGTATTCGTAACACTAAAACCGGCCTTGAAAATTGAAAAATGATTAATTTATACAAAAATAAGTTTGTAACTGTTTTTTTATAGATATTTTAATGTTGGTTTTAAAAAAAGACAAGTTATAAATATCTAAACGATTATTACGTTATACCGTTTTGTTATGATACGTGTCTAATGGTTTTATATTAATGCTTCTAAGGGGTACTGTAAAAGGAGGCGTGGGGGCGAAGCCCTTTTCGGTAATGTGAGGGATATTAAAATGTTGAGGACGCGCTGTATACAGGTACTGTTACACATAGGTAATTATTTTTATTTTCGTATGCTTTGAGGGGAACCGACATTTATAGTTATGACTTATGACTCAATGGTAGTGAATAATTAAAGATGTTAACTTTACAAATCGTGAGTTTCTAATAATGTGTTAATATTAAAATAATAAACAGCAGCTACAAAAACCACAAAGAACAGCAATGGCATTTTTGTTGAAATGGATATTTTTTTAATAGGTAAGTCAACAATATATCGCGTTTTTTTAGTAGACAAATTATTGAACATTTACTTTTATAAAAAACGAAAACGTTTAATTTTGTGTTCCACATACGTTTTATTATAAAAATAATAGTGAGGCGGAGGAAAACGGTTAAAAATAATTATGCCTAGTTTTTACTAGTTTGAAATAAAAATAAAATAAATGTAGGGACAATATTTCGACAAAGGGAATGGATAAACGAATAATTCGAAATTATTTGGTAAGTACCCGTATAATAGATGTTAGGTACTTTACAAATAACTATAATTTTTTTGCCATGTAGATTATGTACCCACTAATACGATTTCCTTTGATATGAAATCACTTTTGTTCTTTCGGGCGGATTTTTAATGACTTAGTTAAACTGTGGCCTATACTATTTCGACCAAAATATAGAGAAAACAAAAATACCGACTCACTCAGACGGTAATTTCATTCGGGTTCGAGTATACAATAAATACTCTAGGTTAATGTTTGGACGGACTTTTCTGTGTTCGAACTCGGGGTAATGTGTATGTTATATATTTTTATTTCAGTGGCCGCAGTAACCGTTATTCCTGCGGCGGACGCCGATTCGTTTAAATACGACGGAATTCTACGAGTTTTAACAAACGTTTTTCTCCGGAGACACGTCCAAACAGTAACTGCGCATACGTGTTGGCCGTGCGGTTAAGTCAACTTTGCCCACATGATAATATTACATTGTTCAAACATGTTTAATTTAACAAAATATTTTATACTTTCGCTGTATTATTGTACAACAGTATATACCAGCTATCGCGTCGAAACGAATAACATTCGACTCTTACGATAATTTATTGTTGTTGTGTTGAATTTATAGATATCGAAATGAAACTTTTGGAAAACCTATCGGCTAATGATATATCCGTGTCCTTCGGCAGCAGCCATTCCGCCGTGGTGCGGCGAACACAAGCCACGTGGTACAGACACGCATATTTAATTGATCTGTCTTGCGAGCGGTCGACGAATGTCTTTCAAAGGGTAATATTTTATTCGTCGTCTGTATGGCTTGTTATACATGCATGATATACAGGCTGCTCAACATAACAATATCAAAATTTTTTCGGAAATTATTGTTTAGAACATTTAAGAAAGAAACATCACTAACATTTTACATTACCGTTATTCTTTGTCATCTTTAGTTTTTATGGAGATACCGCCACCCACTTTTGATTTTTAAATGTTCACATCAAAAATTCCATAAATATGAGAGATTTTAGTTTAAACATATTTTGGTGGTTGACATTTTTAATTTTCGTCAATCTGTTGACAAGATATTTTACTTAACGTTTGCCCTTATTTCGGTAGAAAAATTGTAGTGAAACGTATTCAAATCACACGCACCGCGCCACCACACAAATGATACTTCAATATTGTGAGTATTGTCCTCCTATCCAAAATTAAAAGTGGAATATATCATTAAAGAGTTGTCCGAAATTGAAAAATGTCAATACCAAAATTTACTAAACCTTCATCTACCCATGCAATTTTAATTCTACTTGAAAATCAAAATTAGGTAGAGGTTCCCCCTCCCTAAATTAAGGGTGACAATACATAACAGAAATACTTGCCACGGGAATGAGTTTTTTCCGTTGTGTTGATCACTCTGTATATGAGTATTTTATTGTAAATTGCACCACCGTACGGGTCGTTTATTTTATTATTGACTTCGCAATGCTATTAAGAACAGTATTGAAATTGCAATTACTGTATTCAATTTGTTGTATGTGAAGTTTTTTTTTTTTTTTATCGTTAATTTTATAGATTTCAAACTTCCGAGTGGTATTTAATGCACAAAACGATTGGATACTGTTAGATGGACAACCCGTGGTCGCGAACGAAACAAATATGACCGCCGCATCTCTCGCCACGGAAATATTTCAAACTTATTTGGGTGAAGCGTACGTCTTACCAGATTCAGGTGTATTTTTGTTCCAAATGACTGGACAAAAGGACTTTTGGCACATTTGGAACGGTTTTCGGGCCAGTAAATCGGACACGATGAGAGTATACAAAATAGGTACGGCGTCCCCGGAAAGTTTAGAGATCGACGATTTACGTGAGGAAAGGCGAGATTTTCGGGGAATAACACTGAAAGTGAACACAGTCGTACGTAAATATGAATCCTAAAGTATTATAATTAAAAATGAAAAGAAAAAACTACTGAAAAAAAAAATATTATTATTTTTCGCCGATCAGATCGTAGAGAAAGAACTTTTTTCGGGATTTAAAAAAAAGATAAGTTCTGAACTGGATATATTCTCTCACATACATTACGAAATGATCGAAACGTTATCTCAACAGTTGAATTTTAGGTATGTAAGTAAATTGTTTGTAAGCTTTTAGTACAATAATAATTAGCGCCTGGATACCTCGAAAATGCACTAAAAAATTCCAAAAAATTCACTAAAAAGTGCGAAATAAAAATTAATTCTTCTAATCTATTTAATTTTTTTATAATTATTCAATTTTAAAATGTATTTAATTTAAAGTTTATCTATATAGTTTGTACACGAATTCATTTATTTATTATTACAACATAACAAACGCAATAACATATTAAGTTCTATTTATAGTATAATTAATTAGGCAATAACCATAATATATTGTGTGTGTGTGTGTGTGTGTTTTATTATTATTTTGAAGGATATCTCTCGGTATCAACGATGAATACGGTTGGTCATATGGTAATGGTACATTTGGCGGCTTAATGGGTGTTCTACAAAAAGACGAAATCGATTTGAGTGGAGCTGGTGTTTTGATCCGCGCGGATAGGTTGGCAGTGGTCGATTATACAATTGGTACAATGTCATTTCGGTAAATTTTTCCCGATTTTTGTTATTTTAAAGTAATAATTTCAATAATTATAAGATGACCATCGTCTATACATATAAAAACGAAAGTGTCCTGAGTGGCTGATTCATAATTAACGCAGAGCCGAACCTCTTAGTGCTATCTATTTTAAATTTTGAGGATAGATTAGTATTATAATTTCACCGTGTACAACATTTTAATTTTAAGGGGTTAAAATCGGCAAAAATAAAATTGTACGTGTAAATACATAATGTATATGCTAATAATAGCTGATAATATATTAATCATAATAAAATAATAATAATATAATCATATAAAAATCGCTTTTAAGACTAATAATAATATTTAAAAACTCTACAAAAAATCCCCCTTCTTTTGAAAATGCTGATATATATAAACTTAAATATAACTGTAATACATTTAAAATAGAAATTTCAAAATAAGACATAAAGAACACATTTCTGAAATAAAATTAAAAAGGACTGTCCCTGATACAAATTTCACTAAACATGTTTTAGAAAACAACCATGATATAAGTTTTGATATCAATACAGACTTAGAAATATTAAATACCCAAAATAAAATTTACATTAATTCAGTCATAGAAGAATTACACGTACACAAATAAATAAAGAAAAATAATCTGTATATGTATACATATAAAATAACTTGTCATGACTGATTAATCATCGTCTAACCCAAAATACTGAACAGATCGGGCTGAAATTTGGCACACAGATCGCTATAACGACGCAGGCATCCGCTGAGAAACGATTTTTAAAAATTCATCCCTTAAGGGGGTAAAATAGAGGTTTTTAGGTATATTTGGTACGAATATCTAATTGCATATTTGTTGTTTTATTTTCTTTTGTTCAAGGGTTACCTTGGTGATACGGATGATAATTTAGTTGTCACGAATAAGAAAACTATTATAATTATAATTGTTAATATTATTTACACTATTAAAATGTCACAATAGAATACTTTTAATCCGCTCAAGGTGGACTACTCACTTTCCACTTAAATGTTTTCATTCAATTCTGACATGGTCAAAACCAAAAATGAATGTGGGTAAAAAAAATAATAATACAAATTGTCACAGATAACGCCGGGCACAGGACAGCTAGTTTCTATATAAATATATAATGTTCAGACCAAGATGATTTATTTTTATTTTCTCTCCTTCTTTCTCTAATTTTTTTTCTTAAAACAACATTTTTGCAGTTAGTAAAATATTCGAAAAATGTATAAACTGGAGATTTTATACTCAGTGATACTTTACGTGAACCAATTTTCTAGATTCCTAACAGTATTTCTAAAATATTTAAAACAGCACACATCAAAACAACTAATATAATTAGTACAATTATTATTTACTGTCCATTTTATATTACCGTATGATAATAATAATTATTGTTTATGCACTTAAAAATCAATATCAAATTTTCACCGAAAATATATGTTTTAAGTCCAGTGTAGCATATGTGTGCGTGTGTGTCTGTGGTCAGCTTTTTAGCTAAGCTCAGTGCTCGAGTAGAAAAAATAAGTGTGATTTTCATTATACTTTTATTAAAACTCTAATATAATATTATAAATACAATTGTCAATACAAACACCGTTGAACTGAAACATTGACAATAAATTAATAACGATCTACTAAAATAAAAAATGATCAGCAATAATGATTTACCTGCTATTCACTAATTGTATGAAAATAAATTCTAATAAAGGGAAATCGACATTGAAATCGTCCAATATCCACCGTATAGCCACCCAGGGGCGGGGATATAGATGAAGATATACCTTATGATCTTACCTACACTATAAACTCCTCTCAATCATCTAAACTAACAGTAATTTACCCATAGCACGAACCGTGTGCGGCGTTTTTTTTTAAATTACAATATTATTGTTTGTTATAATACAGAAATATAGCACTGTTCAGGCAGCCATCGCTGTCCAGCGTATACAACATTTTATTATTACCGTTCACATTTGAATTGTGGTTAACGGCATGGCTCGTTGTTTTCGTATTCGTATTGGTACTGGTGATCTTAACGCGTACGATTGATCGAATCAAAAAAGACGTGAAAAACTCCATGAGCACTCTGGAAATCTTTACATTGGTCCACGGAGCTGTCTGCCAACAAGGTAAATTATTAATGAAACACTACAAAAATAAATCGCTATTAATCGAGTTTACTTAATAATCCGCTCCTCGAGTGGCGCTCATTCCACCTTAATAAAATATACATAATGTATTATGTATTAAATTTTAAACGTTTATTTTTATTGATCGCGAGTTAATTTTTCGAGTAAAAAAATACGTACTGATCTTTAGAACACGATATACTACGAGCTGTTATGCTTTTGGGTCTTAAAAATCAAAAACTTTTTTTTTTATAAAAACTGAGTATAATTGTCAGACATTCTCACATGTTTTCTTGTTCAGAATACTTGAATTGTTTTAACGGTTAGCTGAAGTGTTTGATGAGCTGTAAGAATTCAACTACGCGTATAGTGCATTAATTAATTTATTAGATCAGTGTTTTATTTATAAATTAAATTGAACAACAGCACGACCGATCATATTCACAGGGTACAGCGTATCGAGGAATTGTGAATCCATCCGGGTGGTCGTTTTCGTTCTGTTTTCGACATCGCTGTTTGTGTATATTTCGTACTCAGCAAGTATTTCCGCGTTAATTCAGTCAAACAGTAACTCGATAAGTTCTGTCCGGGATATAGTGGATTCGTCTATGACTTTCAGTGCCCAGATAAGTCCATACGGAAAATATTATTTCGAAGTAAGTATTCGTAAAGATACCTACTTTCTAGAAACGTAAAATATCTAACCAGGTGATCCATTTAAGTGAGTACACTCATTATCTCGAAAAATATTAACTTTTTCCGGCATTTGTTTTCTAGAACATTTAAGAAACAAGCTGCACTACAATTTTTTACTTACGTTATTTTTCGTCGCCCTTATTTTTGGATTTAAAACCATTACCTACTTTTGATTTTCAAATGGCGACCAATATTAAAAATTTCATAAATACGTAGATGGAGTATTAGTTAAAATAAATTTTAGTGCTGAAATTTTTGATTTCCGTCGATCCGTTGACGAGATATTCAACTTTTAAATTTTGGTAATACATAAACTTAATATTAATAAAACAATATTTCAGTAAAATATTAGAATAAGTATCAGACTGCTGTGATTTATGACGTATTTAGGATGGAACGAGGAATTACCTCGGGAATCAATTGTTTAGAGTTTAAACAATTAGGGGGCAAAAGCATTTGATAATAATTAAGTACCTATAAAATATTTAGAGTTTGTTTTTGTAAAACGTTTTTGCATATATGTATTTGCCGCTTTGACAGTGATTCATTGCTATTATATGTTTAATATTTTACTGTTATTTAACTTTCTTAACATTAATTTGTATTAACGAATAAAAACAGGTTTCCATTACCGATGTACCTGTATATAAAAAAATATATTTATATTCAAATATATTTCATGTAGGCGAAGGGGGGGGGGTGGGCAGCATTAAAATTTTACCTCATCAAAACTCTAAATACGTCTTTGATGCAACAATAAACAAATAAATAAAACAAAATTGATCGCATTACAGGACGTAACTTTTTTATACTAGGTATGTGATTCACTATAAATGCAAAAAGGGTATCACATGTTTATATTTTTTTAAGAAAGACAAAAAACTCCTTAAATACCTATAGACTTATAATATTTTATGAAGTGACTATAAAAACTTATAAATGATAGGGAAAACTATAACAAGTAATTTTTCTTTATTGAAAAAATTTAAATTTTAAACATGTGCTACTTCTGCGTTTAGCGTTTATATAACTTAAAGTGAATTGCACACATTTCCACTATAGAAAATTAACTTCCATACTACATTTCCTTAGACCCTTGTTAAAATCAAAACTATCCTTGAAAAATAAGCTTATAATTTACAAGTCCATAACCCGCCCAGTCTGGCTCTACGACATCCAAATTCAGGAGACTGCAAAGCCTGGATGGCTTTATATCCAACATTAGTACCCTTCAGACGTTTTAGTTCAAATGCCTTCGCTTAATGTTATTTATTAACCACAACCTTCACAAAGACCTAGAATTACCGACCCTTAACGAGCTAGCCAAATCTCGTAACGCCAAATTTTGTTCTAAACTACACTCTCACTTCAATCCACTAATTAAAAAACTGACGCTGAATAAAATGGCGCTAACCCAGGGACTTTGTAAACGCATAACGTCTTAAATAAAAATAAACTGGTCAGGTAGCACTTCTGAGAGCTTTTTGTTTTTAAACATTGTAACATTTTTATTTTTTCAAATCTATAGTCATCAGACTTACTTATGACACCATTGTATAGATTGTAAATAAATACAATTTAAAATAAAAAAGAACATTAACTTCTTTTGAGAATTTTTTTAGGAAACTGACAATCATTTAATAAAGACGCTATATAAACGAAAAATGTTAATCAACGGAAACAAAGCTTTTACTTCAGCTTCGGAAGGCATGAGAAAAATTCGAACGGAGTTTCACGGATTTATGGTTTTTGAAAACGAATACGTATTAAGAATATATGTTATTTGTATTTATTTTTTTCGTGTTATATACAGACAGAGGTGATTTCGGCTTATAAAATTATCGCTAATGAATGGCGAGAAGAAGAAAAATGTGGATTAACCGAAATCCAGATTTTTGACTTACCGCCGTTATCGATCCCGTTGGTGAAAAATTCTGGACATAGAGACTTATTTAAACAGAAGTAAATATGTCTTATAATGCGCTACGATGTGTTGTAATATAATTCACATAATAGCTCAGTATAAATACGTTTGACTTTTGATGTTCACACGAAGGTTGATACATCAAATGGAAGTCGGGATAATCAAACGGGTCATCAACCAATGGATAGCTCCGAAACCGTCTTGCCAATCGTTACACAGATACAACAAACACATTAGAGTGTCCATCAAAGAGATACACCTAACGATCGAAGTATTTGGATTCGGTGTCTGTATATCGTTGGGAATATTTGCAATAGAAATTGTCTACCATTATTGGGCTGTTCACAAAAATAAAAAATAAAAAATAACTGTAATGTAAAAAGAAAAACGCGTACTAAATATTGCTAGTAAATCGTAGTACAAAAATCGCGTAAGTTTAAGTATCACTGTACAATGTGCATTTTATAAATTCGGTTTGTTCTATGCTTAAAATATTTTCATGTTATAAAACGAACAAAATAAATAAAAAAAACAGTTAAATATTTATAATAATAACGCAAAATAATTTTTTAAAATAAAAATTATACGACTGTTATTTTTAATTGTAAAACGTCTTTAGTAATATAATGTATTATATAATATTGAGTGAAATATATAATTTGATATTTTGATTTAATAAAAATGTACATCCTTGATGTATAGTTTTCACGACAAAGTAGAAGCCTTTAAAGTAAAAAAAATAATAATAATAATATTATTAACAATGATGGTTTTTCACTAATAGGACGGGCGATAAGATAAGATTTAGAATGAGTGCTTCAATTGTTATCTTTAATCTTTGTTTTAATTTGATAGAAAACCCGCGTGATTGTACAGCCGAGCTATAATATTCGTAATTAGTTTGTGACTGTTTCGTCCGTTTGTCGTATCAAATATGGAAATAATTGAGTCCGAAAGAGGTTAAGAGCTAATTCGTTTAAGTAATTTTAAATACTCTTTCGTAAGAAACCGTAAAGATGGTTATGTTAAATGTCTCTGTACGGAAAAAAAGTGAGATGCGTGTATTTTAATAACTATAGATAAGTCTTCTCTACATTTTGTGTTTATTTATTTTCACCAACAAAAATTAATAAATGAAACTTAAGTATATTCGCGTAGTCTTGCTTGGCTCGATGGAAAAAAAAAAAGTACAGTAGGTATCAAAACTCGACAACGTTGGCTAAAAAAAACTTTTGCAATCGCTTGTTTTTTAGCTAAAAAAAATCCTTATCTACGGATAAACGGTATTTGTTCACAACGGGTTTCTACCCCCCCCCCCTGAAAATAAAAATTCTTTCCGCAACAATACATACTAAAATTCATATTAAATTTCTGACCTACATTTATAACATCAATCCACTAACAATAAAACAACTCTAATTCCAGAATTTGAGATCATTAAGTCCTGAGAGAGTCCCAAGAAATGTATAAAAGTAGCGGGGAAAATATATTTACGCATAATGTATATTATATGTGCATAACGGAGACAATAGACACAATAGCTAGACGTTCTGCTTGCTAACGGAAAAAAAAAAAAAATGACAACGCATTTGAATAATTATTCATGATCGGAACCGCGGTTAAAACCACCCGTCGAAATAAACTGTCGGTCTGATACGGTGAGTCTTTGCGCAGACAGAAAAAAAAAACAAATACTTTCCCCGGATTCCGTGATTCTCCGACGACGTAAAATCGTTCAACAAATAAGGAAAACGGGAAAACCGTGACTGGAAAATGTTGCGGGTACACAGATGATGGACGCGAACGTATCGTAAAAGTTGGTAATTCTGACGGCGCCGGTTAATGTAAACGGATTGTGTCTAGTGTCTACGCTAAAAGAATCATATTAACATATTAATTTGTTGCAATCTGCAGTATAATATACAAAAATAATGTATTATGTTATATAGGTATAAGTGATAATGACCGCATTTGCATCAGTATAATAGCGTTAATGCATAGATTTAAGTTTTTAGGGGATTAAGAAAGAAAAAAAACTAAGTTGAGTACATAGATACATAGTGATTAGTGACGAAAAACGGCTTTGATATAACAAAAGTACACACGGTGTCAATGGCGTTTTTAGGACCTTTGTTCGTAGAATTTTATGAATATTTATTAAAAATATCCAGAAAAAATCATGAATAATAGACACGTAATCATATCACGCGCATTTACTAACATATTATTGATATTGTTTAATTATTATAAACAATTATTAATAAGTAACCAACAAATATCGATAATTCCGCATGTTTCACACTTGATATTTTACATTTTGTATTGTAAATTTATTGCAAAAAAATTCAAGTTCTAGTACAAGTTACGTTGTATTAATTTTATCACCCAATGGCATTACCAGAACGTTTCTTGGGGGGGGATGATTATATGAATATTTAATTAAGAAAAAATCATAACTTATTACTATATTATCACACAAAATAATTAACATTTCACATTAATAATATACGCAATAACAAATATTGATAATATGACAGGTTTCATACTTCATATTCTGCATTGTATTTTGTGTGTAACAAGATATTGCAAAAAAAGAAAAAAATGTCTGAATTCTAGACCTGTTTGAGGATGATATATAATCCAGCTTCCCCCCTTAAGAACGCCACTGGTCTCTGCTGATAAGCTCTTGTGGCAGAATAAACAAATATCGTACAGGTAAGGCATGAAGGATGAAACTTTCATCAGGGGAAATAGTTCTCTATAGTGCCATAAAAATAACTTAATCCTTATTCCAATTTTTTTAAAATTGTCAAGAAATTATTAATTACCAACGAAATTTAATTTATATAAAACTAAATCAAAACTAAATAAACTAATAAATTTAAAATGGCTTTAAATAACTCAAAAAATATCAAAATATACCATATATATACAGTGTTAAGATAAGTATTCAGTGAAAGTTTAAAGTAGAGACTACGTATTTTTTATACTGATCACAACAAAAAAATATTGAAAATAACAGAAACCTTTATTGCGTAATTGTTCGATATCTTCAACGTTTTCCCCAACTATTCAGTAAACTTTAAGGAAAACAAAAATGGCCACCTCAGGTACATTGACTAAGCAACCTTTTTACCCAGAACCACTCCTAAAGTTGACGATCAGAGAAATATTTCTGATAGAAAAGTTGCTTGTCCTGAAAAAACACCTACAAACACACACACACGTCATAATAAATATATTAAATACCATGATACGCAGCCAAGTACATGTTTCTCATGACTTTTTTTTTGAAACGATTTCGGAGTTTGCTCACTTTTCTGACCTTTTTAACTGTACTGGGAATAACTCAGAAAATCTTCAATAAGCCGTGGGCCATCTAATTCGATTTCAGACTGAGACATATTTAATATTTATAACTATAAATTTAAAAAAAGGAATTATAATAACCGCAGTATATATTTGGTCATCTCTACAATAAACATACAAGCTAAATGAAATTCGGTTTTCAAACAATATATCGTACTACTATTGAAAAATCAATCGTAGTACCTCGTTGTTGTACATATTCCACTATAGCTACGCACATATTCGTCTGAAACACAAGTCATTAACTTTTTATACAGTTTTACTGACCGAAAATTAACACGATAGTATATCATTCAAGGAATTTCAAAAATAAACGAAAAAAATAAAATCCTTAAAATCATTAATAACACACGTCATTTAAAACCATATTCGGTTCAATATTATAACATTGTAATATTCTCTGTATAATTATTATTTATTTCATTTTTTTTTTTTTTTTTACGGATTGAAACCCTGAATCCCTGAGTAAACGCTAATTTATTCTAAATAAATACTATTATTCAACCCTTATTGACCTTATTTTACTCGACCGTATTCAATATTTATGACATGCTGTAATAACAATATAACCATAGTAAAACGCTAAAACGCCGTCGTTGGTGTATTCATCACGCGATTGTATTAATATAGCATCCCTATTAGCGTTTTATTACATTCATGAGTAATAACAATACAGTATAATGTACGACTTGTGGAAGATCGTTTTATTATTTTCCACGGTTTACGCTATCAATTGCCAAAACAATGATAATTTTTATTCGTTAAACGGTATCATAATAAACATGTTGAAGAATATGAACTTGCACACGGTTCAGAGTGCGACGTGCTGGGATCCAAGTGAGAATATAAGTATAATATTTCAAACCTGAACTCGTCCGTTTTGTATTAAAATTATATCCACTCCGTACCTCAATCGATTCCGATTTTTCACCTTATGGTACTTTATTAGAACAAATTTTCGATTCCAAAATATATATATATATATATAAAGATATGTTCAGATATATTATAATGTTTTCTAAAAAATATTGTTAGGTATATAGATAATATACCTAATACTAGTATACTATGTAGATGAACAATATGATTTTTAATGAATCAATATTTGGATTCACTGTCTTCTTTATTTAGGGGGAAGGATACAAGGCCAAGGAACAACAGCCCGTTTTCTTTATGGCACACCCTGGGAAAAACTCCTACGCACGCTTATGCAAACCACTCGTAAATTGTCATACATCCTATTTACCTTCAGAAACTTTCCACATATACAACAATGGCCTATTCATAATACATAGTAAATCCGGCGTTTTTGTTTTATAATTAATATAGAATATTGTAATTTTTTGTCTACCTAAAAAAAAAATAAGGTATCAACGGTGAATTACTCTCAAGACTCTCGAGCGAAGATATATCGATAACGTTTGATCTAATAAAAAACGCGGCAATTCGTCAAACGCACAACACGTGGTATAAATCCGGAATTCTAGTCGATCTGGGATGCGAACAAGCTCCATACGTGCTACAGCAGGTTTTATATTTGATTTTCGTTTAATTTATTTTAATTAATTTTCCGGTTGTTCTGATGCGGAAAATTCAAAAATAACACTATCGTGTCTGTTTTCGAAATACGAGTAGTATGCCAATCGAAATAAAGATAACTTTAAACGTTTGACAGTGTTACACATGTGGTCATACTACTTTATATTACGCCCAAGACATCAGAATTTAACATTACGTAGTTCAAATCAACGCTAGTGAGAGCATTATTTTATAGGCGTCAAACAAACGTATGTTTAATACTCAGAATTACTGGATTCTATTCGACCGACACGGAAATCCGAACAAAACGGACGCCCTGGATATTGCTTTGCGTACGTTCAAAAAACATTACAGTGCAAGTGAAACCCTGCACGTTTTGCCAGATTCGAGAGTGTATCTTTTGATAGAGACCGGAAATGACTTTTGGGAAGTATGGGACGGTTTTCGGTCGGGCGTTTCCGAAGAAATAAAAGTGTCTAGAGTCGGTGCGGTTACGTCGAATCAAGCGAAAATCGAAGACTCCGACAGAACGAATTTCCGGCGCGTCACACTTAAAGCGTCCACAGTGGTAAGTGCGCGCAAGTCCCGATTACCACAAGATTAATGTGCATTATGTTAAATGTAACCTACGCGGATTTTTTTTTTTTTTTTTTGTTCTACCTTCTACGCGCGTTAATCTGTAGATTCTAGAGCCGAGCAGTTTCGTCGGTTGGGACGAACCTATTCGCGTTTACAATTTAGACGTATTCGCTAAAATGCACTACGCTATTTGCAGTGTGTTGACGGAACAATTGAATTTCACGTAAGTACAATACACATATGGGTTTTAAAACCCTCAAAGAGTAACAGCGCGTAATAATATTAATATTATAATAACGTGTAAAGGATGAATTTGACTTTTTCGCCGGATTACGGATGGAGTTACGGTAACGGAACGTACAGCGGTTTAATAGGACAATTACAAAGAGAAGAAATCGACTTTACAGCTGCCGGAGGGTTGATGAGAGGTGACCGAATGGACGTTGGCGATTTAACCGTGGGAACATTTATGGCCAGGTAATAGTTAAAAACAAAATATTTGTATAATATTCCTTCTTGTATGTGCCTAATAAGGAAATAAGGAATAAAGAAAAGGAATAATAAGGAATATTCGCACACTATACATACACAAAAAAAAAAATTAACACCAGTGGCACAATTAATGGGCTTAGCCATCCAGGATTGTATAAAACTCTTTCGATTTTTTACCTAATTACAACAAAAAAAATAAAATGAAAAAAAAAAGAAAACTTTATTGCGTAAATATTTCGGTTTCCAACGGGTTTTCCCCATTATTAAGAAAATAAGAAAACTACAAAGGGATCAAATATCACCCACCGACTCAAAATATTTAAATAAAAATCATTCGTAAAATTAAAAAAAAAAAAAACGGTTTCCCCATTAAAAACCTGCCAAATTAAATAGGAGGTACTGTCGATGGACGGTTTTCCCCCTCAAGCCATCAAGTCATCGTGTTCTTATCATTATTACCATTATCCGATTTACTTGTTGTGCTTTTCTGTATAGATTTTAAATATGCTTTTAAAATAAAAAAAAAATGTATGAGTGATCTGGGCAAGGTTTTTGGTTTCTATACGCTCAGAATCTAAAAAATAAATCTCATTAAAAAAAATTGGTTACTAAACTCTAATCGTTGACTATACAGTACAATACATATGCATAAATAACATTAATTAATCAGTCGACAAATGCAAGCCTAACTGAACAATGTTTGTCGAATTGGATAACTCGGCATAGTTCTTAACGGATACGATAAGGACAAGAACATATTTCGTAAAAAAAAAAAAGTAGATTAATCGATAAATAGACCGTTTGAATTTATGTTTTAAATGGTTTTTATAGATTCTGAGCGTATTGAGGAATATATTAGTTGAACTGTAACAAAGTGTGCGATATTTTCAAGTTTGTAACCGATTTTTGTACCAGAAATTTTGTTATGATCATTAAAAGAAATTTCTGATAGACAATTTTGTCTAATTGTTGCACTTAAAATGTAATTTTTATTATTTTCCTTGCAACTGAAATTAGGAAAATACGTCAAATTTTGTTTTTTTTTTTTTTAAATTTTTTAGTGTACGTTTAACTGAAAACCGTAATAGAAAACCTTATCAAAAGTCGTGGAAACCTTACATTTTCACTAAATACTTATATTAATCATTTTTAGACACGTCTAATACAATTTTCAAAAAAATGCTGGCTGTTTTCAAGCTATTCGGCATTTTCTATTTTGTTTTTTGTAGATACGTCATTTTCGGCTTCTCAAAAGTGCTAAAAATTTGGTATAAAGTTCATCACAAGTTGTTCTCGTGGCACCGTACAAACATCGAAAATTCGTAGTCCCGATTTATATATAGGTTCACGCGGTGATATATCACCGGGTGACTTAGTGTAACTAATGTGTATACGGTTTGGCCGTATACTTTTACGCAGGACAAGTAAATAATACACCAAGTAGGCGTTTTTAATTTGGAGATCGTCCGTATATAGTAGTGATATATTATATCGTGTCTATACGAACAGCATAATATTATAAATTTATAATTATTCTTATAAACAGTATATTATATTAAACTCGCCCCTCTCACTTTTTGAAATTGAAACCAATAACAGTTACCTTACCAGATAAAAACAAATGTAACTCGCACTGTGTCCCTCTAAAAAAAAAAAAACAACAACAAACTTTCACCCTTTATTATGTTCCATAGAACCGTCGCCATATTTAAGCAACCGCCTTTGTCGGCGGCCAAAAACATCTTCACGTTGCCGTTTGGGATCGGCGTGTGGACAGTGATGTTGGCCATGATGTTCCTGTTCACCATGGCCCTGATACTCGTGACGTGGTCGGCAAACCAGAAAAATGGGAAGCCGACGGCACTCTCAACCGCACTGGACGCCGTTACCATGGTCCTGGGTGCCATTTGTCAACAAGGTGATAACCAAATCCTTACAACCACGAAAAATACGTCACTCCAAAACAAGTTTAACCGAACTTCGACCAGAATCGTATTTCGTTAGCAATGGTTTGCCGTCGCATATCCTACCTTTCTGACTTCCCGCTTACTTGTAATGTACCTTTTTCTGTTAATCAGTAAGAATTTAGGAAATGATCGTAAAAATTCCACCGAATACCAACACAGTTGGCACATTTTATTTTTTTTTATTCAAATTTAACAGACGTAGTCCGTAAAAATGTATTACGACCAATTATAAATTATTTTATAAAAAGAAACGTAAGTTTAAATTTAGTGAAAAGTATTTAACCAACCTCCTAAAAATTCAAAAAAAAAATACTCGTTTGCAATTATTTATTTTTTCAAACTAAATTACCGGTTACCTTTTTCGACATCCTATGGTATACGACTTATACCAACCAATCAACTGTGACCAGGAGTATTATTTTATTTTATTTTTTTTTTTTTTTTTTTTTTTTTTTTTACGATTTTCTTTATTTTTTATTTTATCGTCACAAGACCCTACCACTCTACATAAATTACTTTACCGATTATTATACATTCGGAGTTGAATACAATTGTACGTGTAAATAACATACCGTCTATTATTATTATGCTGCCGTTTCATCGAATCCGGTATTATACTATAACATTATGAAACGTAAAATAAATAATGTTCGTAACGTGTCCCTACGTTAAATTAATGAAGACAGTAAACATAGTACATACTTTATATTGTATAAATAGTAGTAAGTTGTTTTCTAACATTTCCAGTCATCAATATACGCATATTATTATTGAATCGTATTGTTTCGAATTGTTTTCGTTCGCTTAAATCTTTTTCCGTGTCAGTATTGTTGACAATCGTAATAAATAAAATGAAAAAAAAAATAAATAAATAAAACAAATACATTTTGTCAGTGTTCTGCATCGTACGGCCGCGTCGTCGGTGGTTATGGCCACACACACACACACACACACACACACACACACACACATACACGCACGCACGCATATGTATCAATATTATAATATTCAATCGAGTATACAGGATGATTATTTTATCATGTAAACATCAACGATTGTCTACGAAAATTTTGATCGAATGATCGTTTGATTTACAATTATAATTATACTGTGGTATAAAATCTAAAATTAACAAGACATGTTTACAGTACAATGTATACACGGAATATAGGTGAAACTTAGAAAACGGGCCGTACAATTATTCACACGCGTTTATTAAACGATTTTATGCCCAATGTTTATTGAGGGAAGTAAACGAGAAAAAAAAAAACTTAAAATTTAATTTAACCAAAAATCTCTGCAGATAATTATTGCAGTTTCGTCGTAAATTCACCGTATTTAAACATTTTGGTAATTTGTTTGTGCACAGGCCCATGGATGACCACGCACTCCGTGCCCGCGCGGTTAGTTACGTTCACTCTGTTCCTAACCGCGGTGTTCTTGTTCACCTCGTACGCGGCCACCATAGTCGTTTTACTGCAGTCGACCAGCCGGACAATCGTCAGGAACCTTAACGACTTGGCCGACAAACCGATAACGTTCAGCGTGCAAGACACGAAACACAATTACATATATTTCAATGTAATTTTCAAAGGGTGGACTTTTAAAAACTCCGCGTACCTTCAAAACAAAAAATAATAAGTCCATAACAAAAATATTATATGTATTTTAATATTTTTATTATATAAATTAGTACACTTAGCCCTCCAAAATAATATATGTCATAAGTACATGCTGCAGTTCCTACTATCATGGGGGGTGCAATATTCGTGAAATCTGTTGATAAAATTGCAGAGGACGACACCGAACGTTCAATAAAACACACATTTTTCGCTTCACCGATTTCCTTAAAAAAATGTGTTACGCAGATAAAATACAAAAAAAATTACCACAACCGTTTTCAATAAGTTTTCATTTCGATGATAATAAAAAGCTCAGAATTTAAAGTTTCATACTACAAACTACACAATATTATAATATAGTCTTCAAACATGAATGAATGCCTCAAGAAAAATGCTAAATCCTTTTCTAAAATACATTAGATTAGATTACCTTATGCTTCATTAGACATTATAGGGTTTAATGTTTTAAAAAAAAAATCACATTTAACATATTATATTGAAAATAAATTCTTTCACAAAAAATTTTACATAAAAGACAACTAAATTTTAAATTTAAATTAATCAAAACACGTTTATTCGAACTCCGGTCGAAATCATTTTTTATTTACAATAATCCTATTTAGATATAAATTAAACTTGGTAAAAACGCTATGTATCTTACCTCCTTAACTTTTAACCTACAACAATGTCCCACAATAGCGTAGCTACCGTAGGAGCAACCAAGGCAGCTATTGTTAACTTGATAAGATAGCTAACAGTATTTTTCTTTACATAAAATGTATACCATTTAAATATTAATATTCTTACGTGGTTAAAATTATTCTCATCACATAGACATTATATTGATAAATTACATCTAAAAGAATAATTATTTTATACATTTGTTGCGTTTCCACTTTTTCAGTAAACGGTATTGTCTAAATAAAACAAAATTTGTAATGTTAGTAGGTATTTGTATGTAATTTATTATATTTACAGGAGACAGTCGATAAAAACATTAAGAAGATATATCTGAATAAGATAAAACCGCAAGGAAAAAACGCGTTTACGAGTCCCGAAGTAGGCGTAGAACGAGTTCGCAATGAATTTCACTCGTTTTTGGTAAGCCACCAGCCATAATAGGTACATTTTCATAGCCCCCCTTTTGCATTACAGAGAATGATGATACAGAAAAAACAGCATACCCTTTTATTTCTAACAATAAATTTTAACTATTTAGTAACGAGTTAATACTGTTTTCAATATTTAAGATTATCAAAACAAATATGTTTAACATAACTTTGTTCGAAATCGTTTGTATTTATTTATTTAAATTTATATATTTAGGTATTCTATCTCTCCAACTTACCATCTACAGGCCACTTATGGTGCAGTGGTAGTTATTTAATTTAATGTCAGGAAAAGAAGGCAGAATTAGTTAAATTTATACTTACACCTACTAATCTCTTAATCTTTACGACTATACTTATAAATTAAGGGTATAGTATTACGAGTTATAATAATATGATACTAAAGTTACTAGTTTTACAAGTTAAGTTTTACTAGTAAAATTTATACCTACACCTACTAACCTCTTAATCTTTACGACTACACTTATAAATTAAGGGTATAGTATTACGAGTTATAATAATATGATACTGACAGTATCCTAAAGTAGGAATGGCGACGAAAACCTATCATTTGAATTTAAACGTAATAAAAGTCGTAAAAGTCAGAATTTCCCGTACAAATAAATACTTGTACAAATAAAAGCCCTTTATTCACTTCAGAAAATTACGAGGTGGGGTGCTGTCTTTTCTGTGACACTCTCAATGAAAACATTTACAACGAATCTGAATTTACTGCATAATCGTCCAAACTCAAATCAACACAAATAAAGGTCCATACTGTTTGGTTCTGAAATTCCGAGTAGGAATACTAAGGAAATACAACTCACGGTAAAATAGGAATAAGTAAGTATATTAAAGACAATGATACATTTTTCAGGGTGAAATCTCATTGGCGTACAATATAATTTCCAAGACGTGGCAAGAACACGAAAAATGTAGTTTGTCCGAAATCGAACTGTTTAAAATACCGCTTCTTACATTATACGTCACAAAAAAATCAGGATATAGGGATGTATTCAAACAAAAGTATGTATTTTAATATTATTTACTAAACTAGATATGTATTTAATATCACGAAGTAGTCTAGCCCCAAGATATGGATGATTACCGAACAGACAGAGAGAAGATTTAGGTATAATATTAAATGAAGCAACATGGAACTAACGGAGAAGGTTAACGAAGATCTCTACGATGTGGTGGAATTAGTCTAACCAGTGACAAGGTACGTTAAAGAGACGAAGGATACTATAGTTAGGTCCCACAATGAGACAAAGAAAATCCAAAACAATGAGTGCAGCAATGAGCAGTTAGCGCAGCAATGGAATGGAAGCTTCGAGGATAATTCAACAAACGATAAGTTGATGTGATGAACGAAAATTTAGAAAGTGTGAGAGTTTAAAACTTGAGAGATAAAATTCAAGTGTAATTATGGTGGTAAAAACTCTTAATGTAGGTATTATACCGATATAAAAAGAAGAAAGAGATATAAATGTATGTTTGTCAAATTTCTTATATTGATTAAGTAAATACTTATTGAATTAGGAATAATGATATTTTCGAAATGAGGAAACTATTACTTATTTTGTTCAATGCAGAAAATGTAAATATAACTATAATCAAGATGGGTTTAAAGAAAAAAAACAACGTTCCTTTCAAATCTATATAATAGATTTCATGTTCTCATTATTAATAAAATAATACATAATAATTCTAAAATAATATATTGACAATAATAACAATATTAATAATTACATCTCCAGGATGATACAACAACACGAAGTCGGATTAAAACATCGGATATTTAAGACTATGGTGCCACAAAAACAGAAATGCGATTCGGCTTTAATAAATTTCCACAGCGTATCCATGAAAGAGGCGTATCCGGTATTGTTATTTCTCGGCTACAGCATATTCATCTCTTTGTTAATATTCCTATTCGAACACATTTTCAAAATCGAGACGGCTTAAAAAAAAAAAAAATGTTTAATTAAAATTAGGCAATTATTCCATATTGTTTATTAATTTCAACAATCTCGTATCAATTTGTAGTCTATTATTAAATTTTAGTACAATTTTTTTCGTTGTATGTTGTATGTTGACACCCTATTGCCACTATTTTATGGTCCGCAATATTTATATAACTAGGTAGGGCATTAATTAGAATTCACAATTGGCAACTGCAGGTCTTTTATAACCAGTAGGGTCCCCATATTGTAAGCGACATATTACACGCCGTATACTTTCAACATTTTGTTGAGAAATCACGGGTACACTGCATATATTCTCAAATAGTTTTTGAAAAAAAAATTCGTCACAATATAATATTATTATTGCCCGTTCATAAGATTTATGTCACTAAAACTGTAATAATGATACATATTGTTATTATTTCAGTAATTTTAATTAAAATAATCATAATTTGTTTTTAACTTTTAAGTATATGATTTTAGTAATTTAAATTTAATATGTGATATCTCTATTAAGAGCATAAACCATATGGAAGATATAAAATATCCCATTGAGGCTCAGGATGTTATAAGTATAATACTCTTAAAAAATTGTTGGGAACACCACTGGTTATATCGTATGTCTTAAGTGTCGATTTTATTATGTTTTTAATACAAAAAGGTCCAGGTCACATGGTTCGGTTAGTTTGCTTGGAAATAGTAATATATGAAATAAGTGTAGTATTAACAAAAAAACATTAGACAATTTCAAAATATGTTTTACAAAGAATACCTGCACTGATCCGATCACCGGAACCTGAGTGAATTTCCGCGTTCATTTTGACGCACCGATTTCGTTTTGAGCCTCCACAATCAAATTCCTGTGGCCCAGAGGCTTGTTCACGTAAGTTGGATCGTTTTCATACGAATTCGATATGGTACTGCACGTGTCGTCATTTGTACCTATTAAAAATAAAATAAGTCCATAATAAATGTCTAACAAAATTGTATTTTTAAGTAAAAACTAAATATAGATACAAGTTAAAAATCGTAAATTTGAATTTGATGGTAAACGAAAAGGTTGTCAAGAAGGTCGTGTCTGATTCTCGGGGGCCCGGACCCCCGCTTTTCTCAATTTTTTTTTCTAAACAAGAACAATATTTTTATATTTTAGAATAAAAATAACGAATTTATCTACTATTTATAAGGTTATTAAAAAAATGTGCACTTATTCCCAAAAACTTTATCTCAGATAAACGCATTACCGTCTACAGACCTTGTTTCCACTGTGGTCGATTAATTATTATATACTAACTTTCATCGTCACCCTCGTCTCCCGAGCTGATTTTGCGTATCGAAACCGCGGGCAGCGTTTTTTTCCTGGTCCGACATGTTTTCTTCGTTTGCAGTTTGCGCGATCGTCTGCGCTCCGGGAGACGGTTAAAAACATCTTCATCCGACACGTCAGTACTGTCCCTGAAAACGGCCACACTGTAAGTCTCAACGGTATCGTAGTTTTATTTTTAAGGATGACAGTCCGACGTGATTATACTTTTCTTCGCTAATGTCGGTTATGTCCCCGTAATTGATTGGCTTGCTGCACAGGGTGCACTTGTTCTTGATGTCCGCGAAACATCTCGAACAGTAAACGCCCTTGCAGCCGTCATTGGGACACAACAACACTTCTCCTGATTTTAAATCCGTCCCTTTGACTTTATAACCGCACAGAAGGCACACCGTCGCCTTTCGGCGTCTCCACACGTGATCCAAAAATGGATACCTTTTAAATAAATAATAATAATTTAACATTAATGGGAAGTTAGTAGATACCATGAGCGATATAAGAATCGCTAGGCTTTCTCATTCGGCTTGTTTTGACTGATTATTTATACAACGAGATTTTGCTGCCTAAATTCTGGTAGAACATGTAAAAAATCAAATAAATTGTAAAACGTCTATTGATTTATAGGGTAGTTAACGTGGAAGTCGTACAATGAAATGCACTTTATGATCAACTGTTTGACATTAATTTTCTGACAAAAATGCTTATTCCGAATCACTGAATTTAATATAGGTAGTTAGATTTTTCAGACGAAATACAGGTTTCATCATAGCCATGATAATATTATTAATATCATCAGATTCTATTATGTCCAACATCATTAGTACTTCGACGAGAAAAAATATTTTTATTTTAATTTAGTTGTTCATTTACATATTTTTCTAAATCGAAATAGTATTATCAAATGTTTTAGTCACCAAATGTACAAATAATATTTTATAAACTAGTTAACCGAATTTCGATTATGGCAAAAATGTTATGTGATAATTTGAAGAGCGATTATGTTTTGAGAAAAATGATAACCGATTAGAACGTCGTATTCGGCTATGAAGCTGCGGCGTCTAGCGATTCTTAAATCACCTGCGTTTATTCGTTGCAAACAAAAAACGATATTGAGTAGAGCTCGATTTACTGGTTTGCTTAGAAAATAATGTCATTTTTATTCGATGTAATAGCTAAAGAAATCCAGAAGTTCAAGATACAAGTGTAAGTACTCCGAAATAGAAATTATTTAAAAATCCGGTTTTGTCATGACATCCTGTTGTCCCATTTATGAGCTTATGTTCAAAATGTATGATCTCTATGTCCTTTTAATATCAACGTGTCGTAATTTGTTCCCAATTTTTTTTTTTTTTTTTACTGAAGAAATTGCGAACTTAGAAAAGTGGCTCAAATAAACAACCGCCGAACGAAAAATTCACATCTTTTAAGGTGCTGCGTGAAAACGTTTTTTTCCGAGAAAACTAATCTTACTGAAACCATTTCAAAAAATCAATGGTAAAACTAATATAGTGCAATTAATTGCATTTAATATTAATAAGGACGAATCGCCACACTCAGGGTCCGAAAAATACAAATTTTTAAAATCATATTCATTCGAATTCAATATAAGTATTACATTTCGTTTACTTTTCAAAAAATATTACTTTTTTTTCTATGTATATATATATATATATATACACAAGTTTCGTTCACCCACTTAGAATAAAGGAAATCAAGACACGAAGGACCGGCTGGGTCGCCTCCCAAACCGAATTTCCTGCGCAGAAACCGCCGTGCAAACGTGACGAAATTGATCCTCCGGCGGATCATTCGATTGTGCAACCATATAGCCCGTGTTTTGGCTACGTCCGGATGATAGTATCCCATGACGTACGACTTGAGACGTAACCCGAATGGTTGCATGATGGCCAGTAACCACGTCAAGCACAACACGAACACTTGAAAACAATTATTATTATTTATTATTAACAATTATCATGCGAAGAAACGATAGAGAAGACTTGGAAATTATAAAGAAATAATAATTGTTGATAAGGTGATACGGCGATGGTAGGAGAGCTGCGGAGAGCAAGAGTAGGCAAGCGAGCGGATAACTTCGCACTTACGCGAAATAAATGCGAAGAAATAGGTTTCAGATTTAACGAGAAATTTGCCAATTATTTTCCCAGGATGAAATCAGAATCGTAATAACATTACAGGTGAAATATTATCTAATAGCATTTTTCGTACGTATCTGCCAGTAACGGCCGTAGTTCGGCGGCAACGGGTTCGGTAAACAACTCATCGTGTCCATATTCGTTTTATGGGGCACCGGTTTGAACGTGTGAACGATCGTTTTGTACAGGTCCGCCAGTATTCCGTCGCCGTCGATGTTTACGTCGACCGCGTTCTCAGCTGAATAATATTTTCGATAAAATCGATATAATTTTACGGCGTGCTTATGCTACTGACGGTTTTCTTTTTGTTTTATCATTGCCGCATAGATACTTACGGTCGAGTTGAGACGACAGTCGTCCGTATTTCCTGACGGTGATCAATATCCAATAAAGACTGTAATCCATCGTAATCTGTACGAATATCTTAAAAGTGGCCAGTATCATTATGGCCAACGACCGTAACAACGCTTTTTTCTCTTTCGGCAACAGGCGAATGGACGTCCGCTGGATTATTATGACGATACATAGCTATTAAACCCTCTTAACTTCAAATCAAGTGTTTTATTTAGTGTTTTATCATTTTTTGGAGTTTTTTGATAAAAAATTTGAAATTGTATTACTCACTAACGCGGTTTTCATATAATTATAGCAAACTAATAAGTAAGTACTTGTATTATAAAATACGATACAATATATACTACCGGAAAAAATAATGTCAAAACCTAGATAATGAGAATTAAACAGATAACTTCTAAAACAAAACCAACATGGTATTTTTAAAATCACTGAATTTTCTATATAATAATCTGTTAGAGTAATACAATCGACTATATATTTATATACACATGGTCTCTCTTTTTTTTTTTAATCATTTATAATATTAATACAATTTATATGATAATTTTCAAAAATAAACATATTTTTAGTGAATTATTTAGAATTTTTTAATATAAAAGTATTTTTTTAATGTTAATTTTATGGTCTTATAGGAAATTCAATTTCCAGCACTAATTATAATATTATGCCTATCGTATGAACAATTTTTAGACAGTTTTTAACAGTTTAACACATAAATCCATGGCACACACGATCAGAATAATTGACCTACTAAAACAGTCAATACTTTGTTCATAAAAGATTGATTGTAAATTTTCTCGCAAAATTCTAAAGTTAATGTAAACAATTGAGTATGTTACGCAGTAACACGCTGCAATATGAGTACCTCTATGTATGTATTATTCTCGATTCTGGTCAGCGGCAGAATAGTTGGCAGTCCGAGTATCTGTTTCCGTTCGTCTAGCTCGTATAATTCCGTCGTCAAATACATGTTGTCGAACGAATCGATCGTTAAATACTTCTGTCTGTATTTCAACACTCTGCGTTAAATAATATTAATATGTAGGCAATGTAGTTATTTTTGTTTGCTGCAGTAAAAATACCAAGACAAAAAAGAATCACTCACTTCATAAAAACATATAGGAAAACGAATGAGAAAATCGACCCGGCCCAGTCGAACAGGAATACGACGTTATCGATTTTGGATTTCATCTCAGTGACAATACCGTGAATAATGTCACTGCTCAGTTTGCTGGGGGTCGACTCGAACGAAAACGAATGTTTGTACTCGATGGACACGTAAAACGTATTTTTCATTTGTCGCACGTAACTTTTTAAGCCTAAACATAATAATATACGTAATATATGAAAACCGTTGGCATTTATATAGAAAGAATAACGTATCTTCGGAATTTAATATGTATAGTGCATAATGTGCATAATGTTCACTCCTATCATTACTATAAATCGGAGCGAAATTATTGCTGGTAGAAAAGTTGTGCACAGGAAAAAAGACCGAAATATTTTACTTATACATTTCGTACATTTTCCCGTTTTTTCCAATCGTTGAGAAAATTTATAATAATAATAAATATCATTGTAAAACTAATACATTCCTTGCTTCGCTCAGAATCTAAAATTATATTCTTAAAATTTCGGCCTAAAAAAAGGGCCCCCGCCCCATAAATAGGTCTTAGGTGATTCGGGATCCACACACTTTACGCGATTCCCGCCGGCTTGAGCGCGTATTCAGATCATAAATTCTTTAGATACGCGTATTTTTTATTGAATGTAGAGTGCCATCCGGACAATTATACACCGGTATTAAAACGTTTAAGTTTGAATGTATTGAGCAACAGAGGAATCAAGGCTTATATAACTTAGAACAATTCCTGTCTAAACTGTTAGCTAAGTAAATTTTAATGTTCTTAGTGTTGAATGTGTACATTTTCTCCTTTCAATGTCACTATATATTGTGTGCTACTTACAGTGCCGTCCTTAGGATTTGCGAGGCCCAGGGCAAAAATACTTGTAACACTTTTTAGGTATTATATCTATCTATAACCATATAAGGCCATCAATAATTCTTATCACACAAATAATTTAGTAGATACCTCACAAATTATAATTTAAAATAAGGGTTTTTTTTTTTTTATAAAATATTATAATCTAGGTAAAGAAAATAAAATAATTTCACAGTAAACTCAATTAATATGTTTTTCTTTATTTACTCATCTAATATCTATAATTCATTAATCGTCACCTACATTTATACAAATTTACATTTTAATAAAATAAAAATAAAACATATAAAATAAACAGACATTATTAAAATACTATGAAAAAACACTTTATTCTTCAAAAATTAATTTTTCTGGCTTTTATCCCTGCGGACTTTCCAATAATATCTTTATAGTCTACATTTTCATACAAATTACGTCCAATTTAAATAATTGCTAAATCAGAAAGTCGATCTTACATTATTGTTGTTCTCAAATAATTCTTTATGATTTTTTACTTTGAGAAACTTCTCTCAGCACTAACAGTAGTCGTTTGGAAGAATTAATAATAATCCTAATGCAATAGAAATGTTTGGAAATGAACCACATGTTGATTCTATTAAATTAAGACACTCGATAGATGTTTTTTGTTTGTTCAAAGTTCTACAAAATGTTTTTAACTCGTCAAAAAGTTTAATTCCATTTAAATCACGATTTTCACCGTCCCTTAATAACATTTCTAAATTCATACAACGCTTTGGTAATATTTCATTTTCAAATAACTTCAAATTTTGAATATTATATAAAAAAAATAACCGTATAACCGTCCTGAGAATGATGAAACCAGCTAATGAAGCCCGGCACTCTTGAAGAATTTTACTTTTGCGTTACTCGAATATTAATTTGTATACTTTCAAGTATCTATTAAGTAGTGTGTTTTACTATGCTAAAGGACTCCCGTTATAATTTAAAATAAATAAATAAATAATCATTAAAATAATGACAACAAAGGTGTGTCATCGCTACACTTACTATTTTCGATGGCTCCGAAAATCGATTCGTTTATGAATTCGAAAAAATCGCACAGACTGTCCAGAAATTTTACGGAGTAGCACACGTGCGACAATACGTACGATACTGAACACATCCACCCGAAAGCCGGCGAGACGGTAGCCTATATTATAATTATTATGATATGAAACTCGCAGTTTTCACTGTAAAACAATTCTCACTGAGTACTAGTCAATAGTTACGATATCAATGCATTACTTTACACTCGTCCAGCGCGCTATCGAACATTTTCGTACACCTCTGGAACGGAGTACCGACTTTCTTGTTACAGATGCTCATCACGCTGTACAGCCAATCGTACGCCGACTTCACGGTTCGTACTATACATAATACGAATATAGTATAACGAGGTTCAGTATATTATCGGGACTTTTCAATGTTTGTTTTAACTGTCATATTGTTATACAGATGTAGTTGACGGCGAAAATGGTTTCGAAATATGTGTGTGATATATGCATAACGTATTGCTTATTACGGCTAGACGCAAAATCTAACAGAGTGCTAACGGTTTACGTCACCTTACACCTACAACGATTTCAAATATGAAATTCCATAGTACCTATTCTCGGTTAATTTAACAGTTTTTACATATTTTCTATTTTGAGACAACAGAAAACAAGTGGTTATCGCCAACGAAACTCCGATAAGTTTTTTTTTTTTTCAGGCGAGATTGACCATATTTGAGATCGCTTTTCTTTGCATGATGTTTTTAAATTGATTTTATTTGAGTGTTTATAATGGATTTTTAAACGCTTAATATTTTTGATGAGGTGAAGTGCTAAAGTTTAACTCCCGAGCTCTGGGCACAATACAAAAATACACGCGTGGTTTAATTAATTTTAAACGACCGTCACTCACCTACATGTGAGCCATACAAATTTACTGCTTAAAAAACTGCTATTTATATATTATGTTTTCCCTATATAGCGCTGACGCTAATAATTTTGAAAACAAGGCAGGGAAAATAATAAGATATTATTATTTCATAATACCGAACCGTATAAATATTCATATTGGAAAATGACAGAGCTGCTCACCCAACCCAAGGACGGTGTTCTTGATGGCCAACATTGACTTTTTCATTTTTTCGACAATCGCGGCCAGTTGGACTTTTATGCGCATCACCGACGACTGGACCGCCAACAGTGGTTTTTTGATTATGTCCACGATCTGCCGGATGGCCGATTTGATCTCGTCCTGTAATCATTGTTTTTCATTTTGATTTTTTGAACACTAACTTGCTTTTTTACCGATGCACAAATTTACGCCACGTAGGTAGGCACCTGAAGGCAAGTTAGAGATTCCGACAGTACTCCAGTGTTGTGCAACGTGGTCTTGGAAGGGCCAGTAAATGTCAATATGAACGCGTACATGAGTAGCGCGTGTCGACCCTTGGATGAAAATAAATGCGGCAAAACCATCAACAAAACACACCTGATACGTTCAAAGAAGAAGAAAATTTCATACTTTCAAAACTACCAAACGTGCCAACATTAACAATTTGTATTCTCGGTGTCAGCGTAGGAAACGCGCAGTTCGAAGTATAACAATCGTTAGCATCCGATAACATATTAGTCAAGCCAATTATGGTATGATTTTTTCGTACAAACTCACCTACAATTAGGAGAAAACGCCAATCCAAACGTCAGTGCGATCCCGACGAACGAACACATCACTGTAGCTTTTGTGTAAGTGTAATTTAATTGCAGTACAAGAAAAATGAACATCAACAAAGTTAACAAAATTCCACCTGAAATTATTTATAATCCGTTTTCATCGGTGTCCTCTACCTACTCGAGTAAAGTATTAAAATCAAACATTATATAATATGAATATTATGCCATTGTGTAACAAGCTATGGAATATGAACCTCGAAATGGAAGGAGTCGAAGAAGACTACGAAAAAAGGAATACATTATGGATTGACGTGTAGGAAGTTCGGGAATTAAATATTGGAAAGAGAGTTAGTTGAAAATAGAAACAGACGGCGAAGTAAGTATAATAGATACACTGACGTGCTGGGACTTGACCGTGCGCTCAGATAACGGGAAAATCTCTTAGGTAGTGGACATGACACAGTAGAAGATAAAACATAAAATACAGATAAGTATAAAATAAACTTAAATATATTCAATCTGAAGACGGAAGTTAAAAAAAAAAAAAAAACCGTATGAACGATTGAAAAAAATAAACGGACATTTAATATTTCCGATTTAATTAGATCCATTTTAAACAGCAACTGTAGGGAAATATTATTTATTTATTTTTATTGTATTCTCCACTCCGAATCTACAACATAAATACCCAATACAGGTACTTGTTGGAAAGAATAATTATTTCAATAAAAATAGTTGATTGAATTTACTTATAAAACCTATTGTAGATTTTATCAAAAAGTTTCCGAACGTTCCGTGAGTTTCGAATATCAACTTAATTTTAGCCCATTTCATCATTTTCTTGTTGTCTTTATTTACTTCAAACCATTTGTCCATCCAGACACAGCACAGTAAACTATTTGTACAACAAGTTATGTCACGGAAATGGCATTAGGTATCCACACATGGTAATGAAAACAATAATAATAAAATTACTTCAATAAAACGTTTATTATGCGATCAACGATTGAGAGTTTCGGTCGTCTCCCTTTGAGTTTTTCCAACGCATATTTTTTTCGTCTTAAATAGCTCTTGAACAAAATGTTCAACCATAAAGCGCGGAACACACGAACAAAAAACATAGCGATTATCGATTGGTATTATACGGGTATATTGGGTTTTTGGGCGATACACCTTTTTTTTTTTTAGGTTTATTTTAGTTTTTAAAACGGGAATTCAGAATTATGTATTATAGTGGCGGTGTATAACAGAAAATAAAACGCGACAGTGAAATTGTCAAGTACAATAGACATAATTAAATAATAAACGCGAAACAAATCTCTATTTATACAAAAGTACATACTGAAAAGAAGCGAAAAAATAACATTAATGAAAAGCCTTATTGTGAATCTCCGTTGTGGAAAGTATTCGTAAAACATTTGTTAATAAATACAATATGGTAACTACGGTAACAATTTTTTTATCCGTATATAGAGATACGGGAAAACAATTAATTTACGAACTTAAAATAATGCGCCGGACGAACGTGCGATTTTTTTTAATTTTTAGAATGAAGCCACAGTGACGTTTTAAAGAGGTATGATATAGGTAATAGGAGGTCTAGAACCCAGAAATTTCTTCCGTATCGTTTCGCTATTATTTAGTGTTGTACATTTTTCTCTGTTCGTATTAATTTTTTCTTTGCAATGCCACCTCTCGTACCTGTCTATTACGGACAGTGTCCGACGGACACCTAACATTTTTTATGGTCCCGTAATTGTCCGTTATATTATACAGGTTTCACAGTATTACTTGAATTCCGGAACTAGCATTGTGCTGCGCTCTATTGGTTTGATAGTTAACTTATTCTCGTTTATATATTGATAGTATAATACGAGATGGTGCACTACGCACTTAAATTGTAATATTATATTACACTAGCTGATGTCCCGCACGGTAATGATGATAATAAGAACGAGCATATGTTTTCGTGACATTGATAACAACATTTTTGATAAAGATTTGTAAAGTCAAATCTATGTACTTATCTATGGTCAAGTGAACTTACATTGCCGTTTTAATATTCATTAGTTTTCTGTTTATTTCTGGCAAAATGAATAAGTTTTTTCCTTTCAACAAAATCACCACAGGCATTAACATTATCAAAGCCAACGGAGGTCCTTTAAATGCATTAAAAAAACTATTCAGGTTAGTTTACTATAGTATTTATAAACTGAATTATTTTGTTTTGTCATAAGTTTAAAATAAAATATGATTTATCATTTATGTATACTCTAACTAAAGATACCATCCTTGTCTACGTTTCTTGAGTAACATTACAATTAATGTATATGTGTTGTTGAACATACCTAAGTATAATTTGTTAGTAATCGTTCGTTTATCTATATGTAATATTATATTTCGATTATTACCTATTGTTTAAACAACAAATTGGTTTAATTTTTAAAAATTGATCGTTTTAAGATTGTTTTGTGTTAATCCAATATTCATTTTTGACTATTTCATATCAAGTAGGTACCCTACTCGCATACATTTTTCACCTATCATTAGAAAATAAGATTGGAAAACTAATTAAATTGTTTTATTTTGTACACTGATTACATACAAATCAGATTATTGGTAGTTGGTGATATATTGTATGTTTAAACTCTCTCTCCCCCTCCAAAAAAATACTGATTTCTAATGTTCTAATTCTATAGTTTGAATGTATTGTGATATAATAGATACCCCATTGATGAATGTATTTTTTTCCAAAATTTGTAACACTACTAAAATCAAAAACTATGCAGGTAGTGAAAAGACACCGGAACATGCCAATTTATATATATATATATATATATATATGTATATAACTATATAAAACAGAAAAATGTCTAAAAATAAATATTTATTCTTATATTTGATCTTAGATAAAAGGTTATTTTCCTCATCTCAAAAAACCGCGTTAAATAAAAAAATCTTGAATTTTTTCATATTAAAATCCCGTTAAAGTGGTATTATACTGATTAGAAAAGAAAAACATCTACTAGTGTACGCCTTAAGGTGTCTGTGTATGACATAAACAAAATTTTGAGAATTTTGATGTTTGGTTTGTGTTATCATTTCTGAAATGCTTATGTCTGATTTTCTATATATTATAGTAGTAGTAGCGTTCATTAGTATGGTGACATTCAAGGGTGTTGTTATTAACATAGACATGTCAATAACATATTTTTAATAATATTTATTAATATGTCTATGTTCTTCTACGGCCGTCTTAAGTTGTATGCCATCTCTTTCTAACGATGTTGGTGTACGAACCTCTCTTTCCACGATCAGTCCATTTATTGATATGTCTATGGTTTCAATTGTAACTGATGTTATTATTATACTATATTATAGACAGGATGAATTGAAAATTGGAACACTGGTCGGCATTGACGAAATGGGCAACCGTTACTATGAAAACAACATGTATTTTTACGGTATTAAGCTTAACTAAAAATATCGATTTATACCTGATAATATTTGTATTTATTCATTTTAGGACGTAATCGTTGGGTAGAGTATGATGACAGTGTTGGACTGAATTATGACGCCAGTCAAATTCCGGCCGAGTGGTATGGTTGGATTCATTACAAAACGGACCTTCTTCCGTGTCATGTAATTATAACTTATTTGTTCTGTATATATTTACAAAACCATTTAGTAGGCAGGGCCTATCCATAGACTGTGATTTAGAGGTGTGGCAATATTAATATACCAATACATTCTAAAAAATATGTATTCATTAAAATTATGATAAAATTATTTATTGTATATTATGATTTAAGTTATGACCAGTAGAGGTAACCAAAAAAAAATAATATTCATCGCACATAGCCCCCCTTAAATATACCCTTTTAAATAGGTCCTAATGGATTTTAGTAATTACTTCTATGTGCTTAGATATAATATTTTATTTATAATTATTATATATTTCAGGATCCGTCCAGGCCTAAGTACAAGTGGATAGCAAAGCATACAGAAAACGAAACTGGTACTGAACGTCAGTATGTACCATATAGTACAACACCACCGAAAATTCAAGCTTGGGTTCCTCCAAAAAATAACTAAAATGTTGGACCTTTTAGTGTAAATATTTTAAAAGTTGTTATAAAAATTGTGATTAAATATATTAGTTTAAAATACTGAACTTAAAAAAATATTACACCAAGTTTTATAGCAAAAAAATTCAAAAAATATTATTTTTTTGTTTTAAAGCTACATTATTTGAAGTAGGTATAATATTACTTATAATACAGAAATTATAATATGCTTTAAAACATCCATTTTTATTCATCTAGATTTTAAATAGTATTGAAGTGTAATTTTATATAATTCTTTAAATTACCTAATGTTATTAAAACAAAATTAATAGTCAATAAATGTTATAAATACCTACTTATTAGTTAGCATAGGCGCCCGTGGACAGTTTTAAAATAAATTAAATAAAATCATTTTTTTTTTTTATTAAATTGTATATTACATAAGGTATAAAATAATGAATCTTAGCTTCTCCCAAAAAAAATGTCTGCGGACTCTAATGTTAGTTAGTTATTTCTATAATAATATACATAATACCAAATAATTACTAATTTAGATTTCTGGATCGCCATCTTCAAGGATGGTTTTAAAACGCCAAATGAAACATTAAATGTAATTTGAATGTACCCACATACCCTAGTACCTACCTTTATATGAGATTATGTGAAAGACTAGGAATATATTAGTTTTACCCTGAGGTAGGTATGTCTTTTTTAACAGTGACAACTCGTGGTAGTGCGATAAAATTTATCTTTTGGAGCAGTTACCTATTGTAAGTGAATACTAAATATATGATTTTTTTTTCACACCTGTAAAAATTGACCGGAGCCAATGACTAACAACAATACTTATATTATTCTTAAAATTATATATTTTTTCACATTGTAGAGTCATCAAAATAAATAATAATAATGCATTACACTTTATATTTTGTTACACGTCAACATATACAAAATTCATTTTTCTTTCTTTTATTTTAATAAATTCGTTAATTACTTTTTGATTAAAACTATTATCTTCGTTAATCATACAACTTTCTATACTCAACATAGTCAAAGCGTTGAGTCTCTCTTCATTCATGGTACCTCTCAAGCATGTTTTAATCCTCTTCAATGTTGAGAAACTTCTTTCGGCTTCTGAAGATGTCATTGGAATTACTACTAAAAGTTTTAGCAACTTAAAAACTTCTTTAAATGTATCCTCCATATTATTATTTGAAATGTAATTAATAGTAGGAATTACACCGCATAAAGAATGAAAATCATCACGAGAGTACATTACCTCCAACTCAGTCTTTAAACGTTCTTGAACAAAGAATGGATAACATTCAACAAAAATATTTAGAGTAGTGAGTGGAAATGTGTATTTATATTCTTCATATTTATCATTTTGAAAAAGTTTAGCTATTGTTAAATGTTTAGTAAAATCAAAACGACTTTGAGCTTGAATAGATAATACGTCACATACTTCCAATGCGGCCAATTTTCTAGAATTAATATTGTCTTCAATTTTTCTTCTTTTAAAAGTATTTTCAATGTCTGAATATTTTGAAATATATTGACAAATATTTGTCATGTCATCTCGAATTTTTGAAATTTCTTTAGTAAAACAATCAATTGATTTTTGTATTTGTACCGGATCAGTGTTTTTTGCTTGAACAACTTTATGAAGGCAGTCGACATGAGGCATAATTTTGTGAAAAATGGTTAGCCAAAATATAAAAGTTTCATCTGTTAATAGTCTCTTGAGACCTGTAGCTTTATTAATAGTACAAGACTGTAAGGAAATACTTACAATTTTGTCCATACATTCTATTAATGACTCTCTATATTCATATACTGTATTGATAGTTTTTATATGGAAATTCCAACATGTTTGAACAGTTCTAGGCAAACGACTACCTACAATGTCGTTTAACACAGCTACTCTTTGTGGAGAACTAGAAAAAAATTCTGAAATCTCAGATAAATTAGAAAAAAATATTTTAATTTGTTTATTTTGCGAAGTAGCTTGGATCATTATTAAATTTAATTGGTGAGCGTAGCAATGTACAAAATTTGCAAATGGATATTTTTCCTTCACTCTTGTATTAACTCTTGTATTCTGATCACTCATTACTACCACGCCATCGTATGATTGTGCGATTAATTTTGAGGGTGTTTTTTCTAGAATTGGATTAATTTCTTTTAAAATAGTTTGTGTTAATGACTCGACATTATGACCTTTTGGATTTAAATAGCCCCAAAAATGTTCAACGGGTTTACCATTAATTTCATACCGAAAAATTAGTGCTAATTGAAATGAGTTGGCAGTGTCAGTAGTTTCATCAACAATAATAGAAACAAAATCTGAATTATGTATTTCTATTAAAATTTGATTTCTAACAACATTTAAAATACAATCTAGCAACTCATTTTGAATTGTTTTGGATGGTTCATTAAAAACCATAGAGTTTTGTAAATGATCTCTTAAATTTTGATCAAAGTTTGAATAAAGGTCAATTAAACCACAAAAAACACCTTGATTTTTTGATTTTACTTTTACATCACGATCACACAAAGGAAGTTCATACTTTCCACAAAATTTAACACAGTTTAAAATTTTTTCTAAAACATCACGATTTTTATAAACTTGTTCATTATGTCGTTTTATTCCCAATTTGTAACCTGCGTCAATGTTAACCGTACCCAAAATTTTTAAATTTGCTTCATTTTGTATGTGTTTAAATGAATTTTCGTGTTTGTTTATTTTAGATAAAAGATGTATTAAATCCGTAACACCTGTCTTACTCCAAGACCAATCACCGCCAAAACAAACGCACGGAAAACAAAATAATTTGACGTTAGTTTCACACCCGCATAGCCATTTATATTTTTGGAATAGCTCCGGATTAAACCGACGTCGATAGATTTTATTTCCTTTCTTTGATTCCTGGATTAAATTGAACAAAGTAGGTAATGGTCTTCCCAATGATTTTATTTCCATTTTTTTTTCGAACGACAAGGTCGTAAATTTTAGTTTTAACAATTCTTGAATGGAATTCATAATTGAAAAAAAAATATAACAAACGACAAATGTGTTATAATATTACCTTTAAGAGGTGTATTGACATCGGACGTGGAACTTTTCAGTCTACAAGGTTCACGTTTCTCTCGAAAATTTGGTCACAACTGCAAAATGAGCGATTCGATCTTTTTGTACGTTCTACAAGCATTGTACGTGTATAATTATGTAGATATATGTATTACATGTAAACGTCCACTTCGAAGAAACATATCAACAGATCCAACTGATTAGATGTAATGCTGTCTGACAAATGTCTTGTGAACGGGTATAAAATTGTAATCACGTTTCAGCCGCTGACCGCTGTAAACACAATAGCGGCTCAGAATTATCGCACGTTTACAGTGCTGCCGCCGAAAATGTGCGACGAGATTTGTCGCACGCTACAGTCCCGTAGGAGGGGGCGCGGCTATAAAACGGCCGAACCGTATTTCAGTCGAAAATATTTCAACCGACCAAGCCGGACATGAAATTATCGGAAATCACTTAGTGACCATGACTATAAAACATATATTTTTTTTATGTGTGTGTGTGTGTGTGTGTGTGCTCCACGGACCGTCGCACCGTACACGAGGAAACGACCAGTGACATTCACCAGCGTTGGGCTGACTGTATTTTGGATATTTTTGAAAAAACCCTTGTTGAACGGTATACCGCGGAAAACCGAGTATTCATTGAGGTTGCGTTATCTTTGAATTTTGTGAAATTGTTCGGTATACGTGAAGGACAGAGAGTCCGTAACAATAATTATAAAATCGGGATTTCTTTATCGGTCCATTACTGTACATCACACAAAACGTTACTCCAAGTAACGACGCGAGTTCCGTCACTGACACCAAGGTAGAAACGATTAAATTCGACATTTGGCATTTCCACAAGAAATCTCGGACGAACCTCCATCGCCATTATCTTGCCGGTTTTTGAGTATCTGTGTACACTACTCATAACGGTGTACCGGTTCCTATTGGTATTTCGACACACCGATTCACACTCATTTTCAACACCGTCAGCCCTAAGCGTTGGTCGTTCGGCCTGTATTCAATTTGCATATTATTCTTGTCGCATTCGAATTGCCGAACTAATATCGCACTTTAGTACGAGACGCCACGCTCTTATTATTTATTTTTTTCTTTTTTTTTTTCGGAAAACACCTTTGCTTGGGAACAATATTCTAAATTGTTCACATTGTCCGTTAAAAAATGCCGATCTTGTTAATTTTTGGATAACCTGCACCACACACCAGTACCGTTTTTTGATGGACAATAAGTAGGTATCATAGACCGAATGAGTACAAAGTCATGAATTGCAGTTGTCTAGTCGAATGACAACTATTGCAGCAACACGTTGTCAGGCCTGTTGTTGTTTACCTTTGAACGTCTACTGCACAGACCAGTGATCACACCCAAATGAATCTAGGGTGGCGGGGTGAAATTTCGGGGGTTCTATCTTTCAACCGTGCCATTTTTACGGTTTTTTTTTTTTTTTGTTTTTAAATTATTATTTTATTTCGGTAAAATCAAAATCATTTGGTTCGTTTAGGCGAAACGTAGACATGCGCCGTATAGTGTACTACGTGCGGAATATCGGTGGTTTTAACACAATGTACAATACCTACCTAACAATCGTATTATTATAGCAATACTATATTGCCATATATGTATATAGGTACCTACGCCGAGTTTCTTGAGAACACGAGTGCGACAACAACCACTCCGCAATCTATTGTTTCGGTCAATCCCACGCGCGCAACGCATACGTTATTAAGTGTGCATAAAAATCACCTCGTTTCTTAAAAAAAAAAAAAAAAAAAAAAAAAAAAAAAAAAAAAAAAAAAAAAAAAAACAAAAAAACCAAAATCGCCGGCCGCGTTGAATATAATAATAATAATTAGACTGTTATGCAATTAAAAAATAACAACGATAGTATTATTGTCTATTTGTTTATTTTCATTATTATTTATGATCGGGTATAGATATTAGTATATTTTTTTGTCTTTCTTTCCTTCTCGTTATTACCCTACCTACCTACCTGCCTGCCTGCCTACCTACCTATCTACCTACTGTTCGTACATTATTGTCGCGTGACCGACGGCGGAGTCGCGTGACGGACGGTAACGATGAAGACACTCGTCTTGATGTCGGAGCGCAAACAGTATGTGTCGGGTGTGTGTGTGTGTGTGTCGGGTGTGTACGGCGAGGGCTTTTAGAGAATATTTCGTAACGCTGCGCCGGCCCGTCGTACACCGTTTCGGAAACCGATCACGCGAATGTTTATTTTTCGGCGTCTCGCACGTACGGCTTACGGAGATGACGATAGGTAATTGCGGCTGCAGACGTTGCTGTCGGCGGAGTAGTTGTGGTAGCGGGTATGGTCTGGGTAGGACCTATTGTCTAGATTCTGGATGGTCCTCTCTCGGAGATTCGCGACTCGCGCGTGATATCGCGCAATGCGGGCGTTTAGGTTTATAAGCGCGTAGAAACGATGGCAACAAAATGTCGTTGAGACGCAGAGACGTCGGTTCCTAGACAGGTAGGTAACGTCCGGATTCTATAACCGTGGTGCTTATGGATATTGAGTGTGAGACTTTGATTAAGAGTGCCTAATGGAAAATGATAAACAAACACTCAACACGTGTCATCTTTACAATCGGGACCTCGGGGGGGGAGGGGGGGGAACGTATTAGAACGGCGCAGACATTGCTCCCATTGCCCGCAATGTGTCGATCACTCTGTAGTCGGCGACACTATCATAACATATTTACATTTGACATAATATCAATTGTTTGTCTGTGGATGTTCTTATGTTTTTTTTTTTTTTCCGTAAACGTTTAGGTGTCAACGAAATATTGCGTTAAAATAATTTATATTTATAATCATTTTTCTTTTATTATGTAATTCGTTTTTGATTGCCTCGGATTATACTCAGTGCGTAACTGAATAATATTGTCGTAATAACATTGGAATCATAGGATTCATTTTAAACTTTAAATTTTATATTTTTATTTAAATAATTGATGTTGTATTTTACCAGTGGTAAGCAGCAAATATATATATAACATCAAAACTTGAAACTAATTGAACTATTCAGTTTGTTAACAATTTTTAAAAAACTATACCGTATTAGGATGGTTCAGTGCCCTAAGTATAGATGTCTGCCGTAGTTACTATTCGAGTTTCAAATTTAAAAAGACTGACATACTTCGCACGTGGATGCAGCCACTGTTGTGGATGGGAAGTTGGGAAGGTAGAATACAGACGGGAATTTAATATACATATATATGTAAGCAACTATAAACCATTGTTAACGAAAAAACGATTTTAAGCGGAATTCAGTTGACAGTCTCAACAATATATGCGTCGTATTATGGTAAAATAATTACACACATATACATTAAACATTTTCTTTAATAATATTTCTTTGATATTGTATCTATTTTCCTGTTCTCCCGTTTTTCCTCCGTTTTTTCCCCACATATTGAGAAAATCAAAATATAATCTTAGCAGTAAACCGTAGCAATATTTCTGGTAAAATAGTTGTTCATCAGAAATAAAAAAAAACAGTGTAAAACCATGAACGTCTTCGCTCCACCCAAAATCTAAAATAAATTATACGATTTTACATAAAAAATAAAATATTTCAAAAATAATGTTTTGTGAAATTTTAAAACCCTAGTACTATATAATCAAAAATGAAAGGTATATTACATATTTTGTGCGTGTAATTTTAATAATATTTACACTGGCGTTTTAAATTTGTCGGTAATTCTATCGCGTGGAAAAGCTGCACAATAATATAGTAATATTACGTTATTGTAGTTTATTATTTCGAAAAAAAAAAAAAGAAGCACGTAGATGAACCCGCTGTTTAAAAACCCGGGTATGTCGTTTGCGAAATATATTCACCACACGCCGTATATTTGTGTGCGCATATGCGTAACAATGTTATTATGTGATACGTTATACCTATGCACATTTACATACATGGTGATTATTTTATCACGAATCGGCGATTATATCTATGAAAATTTTGTGCAAATATCATCTTTTTTTCAGTTACCGCGTTGAATCATTTAATGTTATTTTTACAATATTTTCACGATTTCCATCTTATCCCGCGGACCTACTTATCGTGTAATACAAAATTATTACGAATACCTATCTTTCGATTTTCAAAAAGAACCGGTCACGTTTTTTTACACTCGTTCGTCCGTAAAAATATTATTTTATCTAGTAATATTATTACTTGAACATTTCCATTTATCGTCGCCGCCGTGCCAATAGAACGATGAAGGGAAAAAAATAATGTTCTAATGTCTTATTTCGTCCTTATAATATATGTTCGGAAAAAGTGTAAAAAGCGACGTCGCAAAAATAGTAAACGAACCATTTAGTATAATAATTCTTGAGAAAAATCAAAATTGAATCAAATTTAAATCTAAATTTTCAATTCCCCAACTGTGCACAGCAATCCCATTATAGTCTTCGGGTTTCGGCGACACCATGGCTCATAATATAAATTCAAATAGTAATATATTGTAATTATTATGGTTTGTTTTAGTTGATTCCCTACAAATTCCTTGTTACACTTTTTTGTAGTTTTACATTTTTATCGAATTTCCGTCAAAAACAAAAATTAGTACATCACATTGCATTGTATTGTGTCTGTAACATATTATATATTTATCTCTTTCGCGTTACTATTGTTAAGACCACTCGGTCTAGATGTAATAAAACGTAGTTATTAGTATTCTATTTGTATTCAGAAGACCTCAGTTACATTTTATACATTATCAGTTGTGTCATAAATAATTAATTAACAGTGGAGTTTGTAATAAGGAAAAGTAGCACAGATATATACTTAGAATAGTAATTGTATTAATTAAAGGCTCGTTTTCGGTATATAGAGAGCACGCGAGGGACACTAGTGAACCAGTCGTAACCAAATGTTAGACAAGTACTTATGTATATGTCATATCTGTGCGAGTAAAAAACTTTAATTCTAGAACAATTGTGTTTATTTTCTTAAATTGAAATCCAAATCCTTAAAACTCGTTCTGAGTCTACTCGGCTCATAACATAATTGGTGGCAGCGGTGCTCTTCAAAGTACAAGAGAAACACATACTGTATTATAACTGCAGTAGTAGTACAGTGGGTGTGATCTTTCTTTTGAAGCGAACAATCAAGGAACGGATAATTACCACACAGACAATCAGAAGACAATACAGAACGAAACAGTTTCAGCTTGGTTTGGTTCAACTTCAGATGGTATTGGGTGGAGCAGTATACAAGCGACAGACGGAACACATCATTACCAACAGGATAGAAAAACTGGGATCAAAGGACAGCAACAGGGAAGATTGCAAAGAAGTATTGGGTGTGGGAGCAGTCAACTAAGCAACGAACAGAATATTCAGTTACAGTGAGTAGGGTTGCATGTCTAGTATTAGTGATAGCGTTAGTATTACCGATTCTGACGAAAGTGTTAATCTAGTAGATTTATTTGAAATAAACGAAATAAATAAAATTAAAATGTCAAGCCCAAAACTGACGTACGAAACGGGAATAAAAACAATACCAAGATATGGGGCAGAAGAAAAGGAATTAATGAGTTTAACATAAAAACCTAAATCACTCAATTTTAATTCATCTATTTCCTGCCATTTATCAGTTATTTAATATTATTCCTTTCACACCTTCGGTTTCTATATTGCCTATAACACTACGCATTAACACGTCCGTAGTAACGTGTCTACCTTGTATCATTAAACATTTACTTTGTATTGGTTTGTCTACCCGTATAAGTACTATAGTTTGTGTACGTGGTGGAATACTAATTCGATTATCCGGCACTATTAATACATCGTTCTCTAGGTCAATGCACATTTTATAATCTTTTAATAATTTCTTTCCGATTATCCCATCCGTATGAATCGGAAAGTCATCAAATACTATTTCAAATAATGACGTTAATATTTTGCCATTTGTTACTAAACTTAGCGTTGTCTGTCCTAGTGTTAATACCGGTGTAGGATTTATTCCCCGTAACCTTACTGTTTTGCGTGACTTCACAAGTCACGCAATCATCTTCCATTTCTACTATTGTTAATACCCGTGCTTGATATTAATTTACTGTTACTGACCCTGCTCCTGACGGACCGCTCCCATTATTTCCATTATTATTCCCATTTAATTGTTTATTCTTATTTTTTATTTTATAACAGTCTGCCATCACATGTCCCACTTTTTTACAATAATTGCATACTATTTTTGTCTTATTATCCCGTTCATTAGTACTTGTTTTCCTATTTACGTCTCCCTGATTATTACTTCTCCCTGCACTTACATTCTTATTATAGCATTGAAAACTTTTGTGTCCTATTTTATTACATTTGAAGCATTTAACACTAGATTTTGCCCCATTATTTTTATTTATAAATAATTTCTTATTATGCTCCTGTGCTATCATTGTCTTTTCTGCCTCCAATGCTGCCTGATACGCTTCCCTCAATGTATTCTTATTGTGGGATTTCACCAACACATGATAAGGTTCCCTTAAACCTGCCACAAATACTGTTAATGCCTGTCTTTTAATCATTTTATTAATTACTGCTTCTTCAGCTTTCTTTGTATCCTCCAATAACAGTGCTTCTATTAATTGAAAACAGAGCGCCTCCAATTTTTCATAGTATACTTTTATTCCTTCATTCGCTAACTGCATACATGCCGCTAACTCTAATTGTATTTGCCCTACTGTCTGCTGTACCCCAAAGTTTTCTACTAACACTTCTTTTAACTCCTCGTAACTATCAATATTTTTAAACCTAGTCACTTGACTCGCTTTCCCTGTTAATTTCGCCAATATCCCCTCTAATACCAATGGTTTAAACGTTTCCACTATATTATTTAGTACATATTCGCATGTTTTTAGAAAACTCATTAATTCCTTTTCTTCTGCCCCATATCTTGGTATTGTTTTTATTCCCGTTTCGTACGTCAGTTTTGGGCTTGACATTTTAATTTTATTTATTTCGTTTATTTCAAATAAATCTACTAGATTAACACTTTCGTCAGAATCGGTAATACTAACGCTATCACTAATACTAGACATGCAACCCTACTCACTGTAACTGCATATTCTGTTCGTTGCTTAGTTGACTGCTCCCACACCCAATACTTCTTTGCAATCTTCCCTGTTGCTGTCCTTTGATCCCAGTTTTTCTATCCTGTTGGTAATGATGTGTTCCGTCTGTCGCTTGTATACTGCTCCACCCAATACCATCTGAAGTTGAACCAAACCAAGCTGAAACTGTTTCGTTCTGTATTGTCTTCTGATTGTCTGTGTGGTAATTATCCGTTCCTTGATTGTTCGCTTCAAAAGAAAGATCACACCCACTGTACTACTACTGCAGTTATAATACAGTATGTGTTTCTCTTGTACTTTGAAGAGCACCGCTGCCACCAATTATGTTATGAGCCGAGTAGACTCAGAACGAGTTTTAAGGATTTGGATTTCAATTTAAGAAAATAAACACAATTGTTCTAGAATTAAAGTTTTTTACTCGCACAGATATGACATATACATAAGTACTTGTCTAACATTTGGTTACGACTGGTTCACTAGTGTCCCTCGCGTGCTCTCTATATACCGAAAACGAGCCTTTAATTAATACAATTACTATTCTAAGTATATATCTGTGCTACTTTTCCTTATTACAAACTCCACTGTTAATTAATTATTTATGACACAACTGATAATGTATAAAATGTAACTGAGGTCTTCTGGATACAAATAGAATACTAATAACTACGTTAATAAGGCGTCTGATTATGATAACGCGATGTTGCAATATCGATACGAACCGCGTGTCCGCACACCGCACACGATACCGCGAGCAGATACTACCAGTAGTGGGCATATTCAGTTACACGGCCGTACGTACGACGCGTTATTATTCCGGTTGCGCGTTGTCGAATTGTTGACGGCGCGATATAACGACAAGTCACGCCCGCCGTCCGTCTTCCGCGCGCGCAATACGTCATTTTACTCGTCACTATCGTTTGATAATGTCGTAGCGGCCGTACTAGTCGAAATACTATTGTTGGCGAATGTATAACACATTGTGTTGATTATAATTACAATTACCCTGCAGCAGTGTTACCCGTTGGGCGTTTCAGACATTTCCCCCGCGCTCACAAATATATCGTTTACAAATGATCGGTGGCGCGACCGGAATTTATTTTTAGGGGGCGGGGGCACCGTTGTTAATTTCAAAAAGTCGCAACTTCTCACGGTTACTGGGCAGGACACTGTTGCAGGGGGATAGTTAAGAAGGTATTGCGTTCATTTAGTTGATAATAATACCGTGTCCAAAAATCAGGACACCGTGGAAAAAATCAAGCCGGCTCGCCACTGTTAATAAATAATTTCTATCCGTATAGACAATTATCTATCTAGATAATACGCTCCAGACGATTATCACCGCCGTCCGCGACTCCCTTAGCAATCCGACTTTTTCCTCACGCCGTTCCGAAATCGATCGTTGTTTCTTTTCTTCTCGACGGTACACCATGCACGACCCCGACCTCTTGTATGGCTTCTTTTTCCGCGTGCCCGGTATCTACCCTCTATCACATTCCGACTCACTCCACCCCCTCGACCGTATCGAGACGCACCTTGCTTACGGTGTCAACTTGTAATTTAATTTGCTCTCTTCGTCTTTGACCATACCCATTCATGTATCGTGTTAAATGTCCACTGCATATGTGTATAATATAATATATTATGATTTTGTTAAATTGTCCGTTGAATCGTCCCGTGGTCGGCCGATTCGCGCGCTGTCTCCGACGTTGCGTATATTATCAGTACTTAAATGGGTAATAGGTAAAATTACATAAACGAACGCGTGGGGTCGAGACGCCTCAGGCCCGAAATCATTACGGTGCGATACGCGCTCACAATGACAATAATAATGATAATGGTATTATTATGTCACGTGGGACCCGTGGAAGAACCGGTAAGAAACCGGAGACGTTGTAAAGACGTCGTCGTTTCGCGCGAACGGCGGCACTGCAGGGAAGTTCACGGAGAAATGTCCGCGATGATGGGAACGAACCGGGCGTGCGCTCGCGGACCTTTTTTTTTATGTTTTTGACGCGTACTTGTGGCGACGGCGACGACATTAAAATATTTCGCCCGTGGCACCAAAAAAAAAAATAATATACTCTCACGCGACCGCGGTCTCATCCTCGGGCCATTAAACGATGATGCTAATGGTATAATATATCGCGAGCTCGTCAAAAGCGATAATAATAACGATAATGATGATGAACTGCGAGGCGAAAAAAAAAATGAATAATAGAAAGATCTCAAGAGTATAAGTAACAGAAAAAAAAAAATACGAGAAGATAAAAAAAATGGGTCGGCTCTATACCGTCGGTGTACGTGTACGCGTTAATACGAGGTCGCGTTTTATTGGCACGGCCCGTGCGAGGGTCACGAGATATTAGGTATACTTAAAAAAAAAAAATAAAAAAACTTTCGACGTAAAAGAAACATTTGGCGATACGACCGAGAAATGTGATTTTCTTTTGTCGCGCACGTAATTTAATTAACCCGAAAACCGATATGTATGATACTTATGCCACGGTGAGTGCACCTATACCTAATAGATTACCCTAAAAATAATAGATTTTCAATGTTTAATCGAGTAATTACCTTTTGTAAATATAACCTGGAACACTGAATAAAATATATAATGAGTATATGGACTATTGCATATTATGTCGCCGTAATTAAAGCGATATTAGTCGCTATGTCCGTAGAATTTTGTAAAATTTTACTATAAATTAACGATTCTTGTAATAGACGTCAGTACTCAATCAGTCAGTTGTCAGGAATCAGTGTCAGCGTATGCAGTAGGCAATAATAAATCGTTTTCATTGAGTATAAAAAAAATTAAACTAAGCCGTTATATATAATACCGTAAAATAAAATAAATAAATGTAATTAAAAAATTTAAAAAAAGAAAAGTAAGTCAATGGGAACGGGTGCAGCCACTGGTGTAGGTGAGAAGTTGAAAAGGTAGGTTGTAAACGGGAATTTAATGTATATCTGTAAGCAACGATAAACCATTACTTACGAAAAAACGATTCTGAGCCGAGTTCAGTTGATAGTGATGATTTGTCAATATGTTGTATATGTCATTTTATAGTAAAATAATTAAAAAGGTTTTATACATTATTTTCTTTAATGAAATTTGTTTAATGTTGTACCGATTTTCCCAGTTTTCCTACGTTTTTCCTGGTTTTCCCATGTTTTATCGCGGTTTTTCACATTTGCTGAAAAACCCGAAAAATTGCTGGTAGAAAAGTTTTGCATGGAAAAAAAGGAGGCCGTAATATATTTTAAATAATTACTACATTTTTTATATTTTCCTGTTTTTTATTTTTGGTTTTTTAAATTTGATGAAAAAACTCCTGAGAAAATCGAAAAAAGACTTATTTAAGGTACCTTCACAGTGAAATTTCCTTTCAGAAACATTTCTGTCATTAAAAGTTGGAGCAAAATTGCTGATGGAAAAGTTGTTCACAGAAAAAAAATCGGAAGATTATATTTATTATATTTTATAAATTTCCGGTTTTTTTTTTTCGGTTTATCGCATTTAATGAGAAAACTTGAGAAAAATGACCTCTATAAAGTACCTCCGAAGTATATCGAGTCTGAAGCATTTAATGACACAAAGTTGGAAGAACTTATTCATAAATTGTCTATAACAAAATCAAGGAAGAAACGTTTTTGTTAAAAATATACTTCCAAGCTTCTTATTTACATTACATTGTATTAATCTAAAACTATCATAAATCATTTTATATTTATATGTGTATGCATTATTAATATTCAATAAATTGTTTAACTATTAAATAATATTATGATGTTTTAAACTTGTAGGTATTTTAGTAGGTATGTAATTGCACGACAAAAAAATGTAACGAATTTGTATTAAATTGTTTCACATATTTATGTAGGATTACATAAAATATATGTACTTTTAATGGCTTCTTGATAATAAGTACAAACTATATATTGCTCCAGGGTTGCTCTAATCTTTAATCCGGCCCTGGTTCTGCTCACTTTCTGTTTTAGATTCTGTGAGAAGCCAGCCAAGTGAGGATTGTGTTCGTTTACCTACTTTTACTACGATTTGCTCTGTTGTCTAACGATACTTTTCGACCGGAAATCTCACATTAAACACCAACTTCTGGAGAGGTTTTCGGGTGGAATATATTAATTTTTTTTTTTGTAAGTAAAAAAAAATCGTCCATTTTCCTTTAACAACATCCGAAAGCCGGTGCTCGCGGTAAGTAAATAATACGAACCTGTATAATATTAGGTACACGCGAATTGTTCGTTCGCTCTTTCGCATACACAACGGCATATATCATTATATTATTGGTCCGAGTGCCTGTAAACGAGTCGAAATAGTTTGCGTGCAAAAGTGCAGGAGGTGTTACTACACCCGTAGGTGTATTATGATATTATAGTATTCATGCAGTGTGTACTTGAGTGGCGTGCACACCTGTATAACGGGGTAATAATATTATATCGACACAGTATTACTGTCGGCTATTAGTCCGTCGTGGTTTTCTCTCCCGTGGAAAGCAACAATCGCATTACTATTATTACAGCACGAGAAAATCTTCCACGAAAAATATTTTAATATTATTGTTGTTATAGATGCGATGCCGCGCCGGACGCGAAACTCGAAAGTTCCGGAGAAAATACAAATGACATTTTACGATATTATGATTGTATTAAATTATCGGGTACATAAACTGCAGTTGTTGCGTCAGTCGGGGAAGGCATTGTGTTCGACCGAGATAATTGACCGATCGTAGTTCCCTCCGTCCATCCGCCCCCACCCCCCTACCACAGGCATGTTTTCTTTTACTTCCTATTCGGCGTGTGTGTACCTGTGTGTCATCGCGTTACGTTGTCGGTATTTTTTTTTATTTTTTTTTTTTTCGTTTTCTATCATTATCCGTTATTATTTTATGCAGTCGTGTTCACATGCCCTTTGGATAGTTCCTATTGTAGGTCTTGGTATGGTCTTGGTAGGTCCCGACGATTTCGCATACCTACGTACATTCCGTTTTCTCGTCAACATCGATGTTGATGATGATGCACTATACTCGAACGATTTCACATTGTTTTCGAAAACAATTAATAAATAATAATAGGTAAAACTGCAGTTTTATAAAAAAAAACTATGTACGAATATAATATATACCTTATACCCATGTATTGTCGTAGACATTGTCGTGAGATACCAAAGCCGGTGCACCAGGCAGATTTGTTGAGTATATTCGAGTTAAAGTATTAGAATACCTACGTGTTTTAGATACTTTTAGAGGGGTATATTATAGTCAGTAAAAATACAAAATTCGAAAATTTCGAATGGCTATAAATCTCTTGAAAATCTATGGAAATTGCGGATCGATTTTTCGTGTATTCTTAGTTTTTTCAATTATTTTGAAAACCTCTAGAAAAATCAAAAACTAACCTCTTCAATACATCAGATTGATCTAAAACGTAAAAATAAAGGTCTTAAACTAAGTACATGCATAATAAAACCAATAAATTCCTGTATTGGAATCTAAAACAAAATCAAAAATAACAGCTACCCGTGTTTCGTAAATTGACTCGTTTTTTAAAAGAGGTTTTCTAATTATTGAAAAACCAAATAGACAATCATAAAATGATAAATCTTGTAATCAAGAATTGTCCCTAAAGTTAACGACGATTGGTGTAAAATGTCTGGAAGAAAAATTGTTTATAGACAAAAAAAAACACATCCAATACATTCCTCGCCCCGCTAAGGATATAAAATGAAATATCATAAAATAATACGAAAAGCATACGTGTTAAAATCACAATTAACAAAATAAATAAAACAAAGAAAATAAATCTCAAAAAATTATAAATAATTCATAATTATTATTCTTAAGTTTGTATTTCCATTGACATACAGAGTGTCACTATTTGACTATTTGGACTATTTGACATTTTTACATTGATTGCTGATCAATAAAATGAAAGACACCCATTATCTGGGTAAGTATTTATATTATTCGGGTTTTTTGAAAATTTTAAAAAACAAGGAGTTCTAAAATGTTACATTTCCGTTATTTTTCGTCACCCTTATCTTTGAAAGTGAAACCATCACTATCCAGTATTCCACATTAATAGCAACCCATATTCAAACTAGTATAAATACAGGAAGTTTTATTGTAAATAGGTAGTTGGTGATAATTCGTTTTTTCGTCATTTTGTGTAATGATATGCTATTTAAGCTATCATACATTATGTAAAATAAAATATTATGTAATGTTAATAAATCAAACAATTAATAACAGGAATGATAGTAAAACATTTACATCCGATTCCATTCTTTTTTATTATCAAATAACATATATTTTAGTACGATATTTACTCATCGTAAGGAGATAATACTTAAGCTATCATATATAATTAAAATAAATTATATAATCAATATTGTAAAATAATTATAATAATTTGTAGTCATTAATTATTAGATTAAGTTGTTAGTATTAACCAAATTAAGATAACACANGTATAAATACAGGAAGTTTTATTGTAAATAGGTAGTTGGTGATAATTCGTTTTTTCGTCATTTTGTACGGCACGTTTTAGATAGTGATGAGTATCGACATCAGCAGTCATCGGCCAATATTAAAGAAATCGGATTATCGAATAAGTACTACGTACTTACACAATTAGTATATTACGATACACAATATAAAACAGTGAAACAATGTAATATGAATTTTCAAATCTTAATCTTTATCTTACAAAAGAGTGTTTAAAATTGAATATACTCTTTTTTTTTTTTTCGCTATAAAAATGGAATTAATAATACAGTCGATGTCGCGATGTACTTTAACAACGTACGTTGCAATATTCGATAGTTTGCGCGTCGTATATGAGTATTAGGTAGGTAAGGTAAATAAGTGGGTATATGCGTACAATTGAAATTACGCTAAAATAACGTGGGAAACTATAAAAATTACTTAGATGTTTTTTTCTTTTACTCGTTTTTTTCACATAACTAAAAATCCACGACAGTAATAATAATAATGCGAACGTGTACAGCGGAAAACCCCCTCCGAGAGAACGTCGGTAATTATACAACTATTATTTATTTTTTTCTAAACACTGTTGTTGTTCGCAAATAAAAAAAAAAAAAATCAATTTTCTTGACCGTGATAACCAAATCAGCTAATAGTAATTGTTTTTCCGTCCGTTTATCCCTCCTCTCTTTTAGGCATAACAAGTATCATTACCTTTAACATTGTTAAAATATTCACTTTTGATGTATCCGTAGTGATACACGAATGACGAATCAAATTATAAAATAAGCACTTGGAAAGTATATAACATTGGGTTCTAGGGCATCGAAAAAAAAATTAAATACAAATCATATGCGATGATTGATAAAACATTACGAAAACGAAACTTCTCGGGATAATATTATTTCGAATCACCTAATTATCCATAAAAAAAACCTCGAACAACTTCATAAAAATATGCACTAAAAATCAATAAAATCTCCTAAAAAATTAAAAATAAATCACGAACCGAATCGCGAATCGAATTATTTACTTATAATGCATTGTTTAGAAAAATGCACTTTGCATTGAAATCCGGTCCCTATAATAATAATAATAACAATATTAGTAGACGTACCGCGATGCATTCCTATCCTGCGTTCAATTTATTGACCTCGTAATAATAATATGAAAAACAAAAAACGTTTATATTTTCATACACGATATTCCACGGCAATTAACCTACACAATTTTATTTAGCCTTGTAAAGTATTCGAGTAAAAGTGTTCAAAACACTTTTCGAGTAGGTATACAACTACCCACTCAAATACGTATGTTTATTTCAATTTGATTTTATTTAATTATTGTTGGTATGTATTATTTTAAATACTTTCCATATATTTCTGAAATTATGTATACTATACATTATTGTATGATTGTATACATAACTAACGCATTAAGCCAGTTCAATACGTTCAATAAAGTCCCTTTAAAGCACGCCACACTCGCATGTGCTATGTTCGCCTTACGAATGTACGACGTAGGTATTAAATGTTCATTCAACAGGGACAACTTAGTGAAGATTGAGCTGTTGGTTGTAATAATTAGTTTTGTAAGAGGATAATAACCTTCTATCAAACTGTAAGGTAAGAACATTATCTGTGCAATCGCTTTCGATGTTTCTCGGTATTCTAATATTTAAGACGCCTCGGCATTAACATTTATTTTTTCTGGCCATCTCGTTTGTAATATAACAGCAAATAAAACACTCTACACTTCCACGATTGAGTCTTCATACTTTGTACTTTATCCTATTTTATACTTTGTACAAAGACAGTTATTTACTATGACTTCTATGTTTTACGAATGATCATTTTTTAAATATATTATCGTTTTTTTATAAGAAATTCATTGTTAAAATTAAAAGAAATTAAGTCGAATCACGCTTGTTTTAATATGTATAGAAAAAATCGGACTATACAAATTCATTCGCAGAAACTATAGTAAATAATCTTTCTTGAAAAATGTCTTTCTTTCCTAAACTCAACCAGTCATAATTGTGAACGAAAATGTTATAGTGCAAGGCCCGTATAAAAACGGATTAAACAACGAGAAAAAAAGCCTGATATAGTTGGATAAAATATAATGTCGTAACTTTAAATTTAATAATAGGTCAGTTAATTCTAATATTAAAACTAACAGAACAGAGTTATCCTTGCTAAATGA